TTTAATCAAAATGCACATTTTTTCCCCGTTTTCCTTTTTTTGGGCTGTGGCTGCAATTTCCTCGTGAAAAATGTTTTTTAATTGGTGCAACGCGGTGTGGCAAGCCGCCAGATGATAACAACATTTCTGGCGGGTGCCGTTCCAAGACTTTGGCCGCATATTGCATTTTAATAAACGGCCATATCGGTTACGTCAAGGCATACACAAAGATATCGGCGATCGGAGTATAGTATTTTTCGGGAAGGGGCGAATGGAAGCTGGGCACGAGTCTGATATTTTCACGCTTAAGATAGTTAAATTGGGCGCCTGCCCGCTGATGGGGATTCAATTTGGGGCTTTAGTGTCCGCCAGGGGATCCAATTTCAATTAAGCGGATTAATCGGCGGCAAATGAAAGGCGACAGTCATTAATCAAGGTAGCAGTTTTATTACGAAGAGAAAATAAACCTCTCACACTTAGAACCTGGATTAGATTGATGGAGTCACTGATTCTTTCGTATATAAACGCCTCACTTAGCTCGTAAAATATTAAAATCCAGATAAGATCGGTAAAGAGATTGATTCTTTGGTATCTGAGTGGTTGTCACACACACCCAAGCCATCAACCTTGAGAGGCCTTCACTTCTGAGACACTTCTAAGTGCAAGGATAACCTGCGATCAGTCACTCAGACTCGATTGTGATGTAGATGTTGATGTCGACTCCACTTGACTTTGACATGCGACTCGAACTTCATTAGGCCTGGTTCATACGCCTGCCTGGCTACCTACCCACTTGGCCATATAGCTCGCTATCTGGTCGGAGTTATTGGAGCGGCAACTTGAAAGATCCTAACCCCAGTTCGCATTGAACTTGCTGCTGCACCAACGCACCAAACATCGCAACAAATTATACCAAAAAAAAGTTGGCGAGAAACCGAAAAAGACATGGCTAAGTGCGTTCTAGTGGCAGATACATTTTGTGAGCAAATAAATTTTGATTGCTTGTGATTGCCGTCGAGCGAGATCCGGAGAACCCGAGAACCAAACCGCTGTGTGGGCCAAGTTCTGAAGCTGACCTGACCATGGGCGGTGGCCACTGCTGTTCGGCCGATTTTTATTCTTTTATAATATAAATATTCATTGACCAGCCGCAGCCTCAGATACAGATACAGAATCCGTGTGGCTGAGTGGGCTGCCTGAAGGTGGGTTCGGAATATTTTTAACGAGCTGCTTTATGTAAACAAACTGTTAACACGGCAGGTATCTCTCAGCCGTAATATCTGAGTATTGGTATCCGTTCTTGTTCTCATTGTCGATTCTCGACGTTTGTCGGCACTGTAGTTTACGACTACATGCACTCGCATTGAACAGCGATCTTAAGAGCCGATTAGATTTAACCTTGACCAAGATGATAACCGAAAAAGCAAGAAAAAAATAAACGAACTACAGAGGGACCCACCTTAACGCATTTTCATTGATGCCGCATCGAAAAGAGCATAATTTGTTATTTTTTCGTATCAAGGTTTTTAGAGCGACTGCTTAGCACTTTATACCTGCGAGATTTTCATATAAATGACGTCCAAATACGTAAATAATTTTGGTTCCATTTGCATTTGAATTGGTTTTCTGGGGGATCACATTGATAGACAACTTCTTTTCCAGTTAACAGCCATTTTCTGGCCGCTTTGGGCCGTAACACCAGCGAGTTTGGCAAACAGCAATAGTCATGACTTTAATGATGATCGCCGCTCCAACTCCTTCGAATGTTCGTGTCATGAATTTGCACAAATTATGCTAATTTCCCGAAATTACAAACCGCAAAGTGATTTTTTGTATTGCTTTATTTGCCACTGCTGTGTTTCGGTGTCTGCCAATTTTAGGTATTTGCACATTCAAACGAGCTTTGATGCTCTGAGCTGGCCAAAATAGCAAAAAATACAAAACAAATACGAAAAGGTGTTAATTTTGATTGTAAGTAAATTTTTGGTTCAGTGAACTCTTTTTTCTGCTGTGGCGTGTCACATTATGCAACCGCCGTTTGCTGATTATCTGCGATCATGGTGGAGAAATATTATAAAATGATTTACATTTAATTGAATAAAGGAAGGAGCAAACGAAAATATCATCACAAATCAATCAAGCTCATTGTCGGTTGATTGCAATCGCTGGGCGTTTCTGCAGGTGCCAATCAAAGTTGTCTATCTGTATTTTCTGACAGATACGCGCACTTGTTCGAAATGTGTGAAAGGCCGCCAGAAACCGATGCTGAAAAAGCACCCGTTAGCGTAATTCCAAATCAGCTCTCTGCTTCTGCAGATATAACAATCGTGTTGTGGGTGATTACATAAACAAGACAACCCGAACTCGGACAACTTTATTTTGGACCAGCTGAAAGCAGATACTCGTAGCCAATGTACATTTGGTGTGTAAGCTGCGTGATTTGAAAGCAATTTGCTGTTTTCCCCCCCGGAACCCCATGCTTTTATCCCCCTGCTCCATCTGATATTGAACAACGTGTAATTGGCCTGGCAGCACTTGCCGACAGCCGGAAAATTATAAGGTCTATGATTATCGCAAGAAAATCTGGATCTTAACTTGGGCCAGCAAATGTGAAAGAATTTACTTGAGATTATTACAATTTGTACACCTTAAATAACAACAATTTATTTAAAACAATTATTGTGTCACTAAAAAAACAAAATTCGGTTCGGCTGACACTTAAATAATAAGTTTTTTTACCATTTTTAGTACATTTTAATTAATGCAATTCATTTAATAGATCCCTTTCTTTTATAGTTTATTTATGGCCAGAGATTCAAAATTCACTTCCTTTCCCCTTTCGACAGATTAACCATTCCCGACTGCGAATAAACAAGTAAAAGCTTTTTATTTTGCCTACAATTAAGAGGCAATTACTCGGCCAAACTTTCAACACTTAAGGCAAGGCAAATAAATCGTACTTAGGTAATTTATTAATTGGCTTTTCGCATAAATCGCGTTCAAGGCAAGGCGTTTGAAAATTACAGCCTATCACTGTGGGGCAGTTACATAACACATGTACCAGAACTCTAACAGCGAGACAAACTTAAGTCGAATAAACAAACGTTAAGTAAGTCTGAAATCAGCACAACATACGCCCAAAATGCCTTGACTAGGTGTTTTTTTTCGCTGGCTTTTCGGTGGAAATGCGGAAAACGCAACCAAAGTGGAACACGAAAAATTTGTTACTGCCACATGCCGAGAAAAATTGCAGCGAGTCGGGTAAATTAAAAGATCTGCCAAATGGCCAATACAACTAAATTCGCAACTAAAATAATTGTTACAGTATTTGTGGAGGCATATACAGAATAAATGATTAACTTAGTGAAAAGTAAAGAAATCGGAGGAAACCAATGAAGTTGTTGGCTCACCTCGTTGACACCTTCTCCGCTGTCAACTGACTTTCAATGTGAATGCCAGGCATTTAACGCGCACATTTATTATACGCACTGTGTGCTAAATCCATTTAAGTGTCGCTAACTCAAATATTGCTCATAATTCAAGTGCCCAGAGCGATGCTGCAACGGGCGAAGAGAGAGGTTGCTCCAACAATTTCCAATCATACTCGATTTGCATTTACATATGCACAGATAAAAAAGTAGTTATGGTATTATTTAATATTTTACAAAGCATTTTATTATGATTTGGTGAATGGATTTTTTCAAAAAAGCAATTGATATGATAAATATATGTATACTACCAGTTAGTAATACAAAAATAAATATAAAAAACGTTTAAAAAACTGAAAAAACATTTAATTTGTTTTTTGTAAAAAACAAAAAGTTTAATAATTTCAAATGTATACTTTTTTGTATAATTGAGGGTCTGCACATTAACTTTTGAAAAACACCTCATTTCTTTCAGTGCAGCGACTGTTTGGCCCATGTCATCTGTGGCAATTTGTTGCTTGGCTTTGCCTGCAATTTGTTTATGGCACATGTCGTTGTTGCTTTTGCTGACATTTAACTGAAGTCGCGTGTGCGAGGACATTGAACTTTGCCGTTTTGTGTTTGTTTGAGTTTTTGGCATTTTCAATAAATGCTCAAATATATATTGAGAGCAAAATCAAGTTCGCTGCCTAAGTCATTTGGTTGCTTAATTTGTAACGTTTTTGTTTCCATTTGCTTTCATGGGAATTTCAGTTGTGCAGTAAGCCTGCATGAATTCCCATAGATTCCAGTTTGTTTAGGCATTAGCTATATATATCTGCGACTGACTCAGCTCAAGAACAATTATAGTTCCATTTCCCTTACACATTTTATGTTAAACATGATCTCAGCTGGTGGCCAGTTATCGCAGTAGCTCAAATGTCCAACCAGCTTGGCTCACTGTTAATATTTTAATTATAGCATTATGGCCGAGACTTAATTAGCCCTGATCACGCCTAGTGCCAAGTGGGTGTTCGTTCGATGATCGATAAACAAAAAGCCAATTAAAACTGAAACGAAATCGTAAGCAAATTGAATCGAAAGCATTTAGGTGTCTTAATGTTCAGTCAATTCAGTCGATTTAGCAGCTAACCTTTCTCAAGGTTACGTCGGCTGTCGCTGTTTTAGTCCAACAATAATTATTGCAATTACAGAGGCGATAAAAACGAACCGAGAGACCGAGAATAGTGTGGAAACATTGCTTATCTAGATCGCAGATTATTTGCATAAAATGTTCAACTATGCAAATAGCAGCTAATTTTTATGACTTGGGCAGCGTCATTCAAACGCAACTCATATTCATATGGCAATTCATATCGTTGACTGCAGGCCAAGAATGCTGAGTGGAAAAGAGTTCAATAAATTATTTAAATGATCTGCCCGAAATGGAGTTCGCCGGTGTCAGTGGTTTGACAAATGTAGCTGGAAATTTAATGATATTATGCCTGTTTGTGTTAGTTTTTAGTCAGCTGAAGAATAAATCCCCAAGAATGATATATTTTACTCTGATTAATTATCCCAGCTCACTCATTTTAACCTAATTCCCATTTACAGGAGGGCAGCATCGGTCATGATCTGGTCATCAAGCCCTTGCCGCACAAACTGAGTCCCCATCCCGAGGAATCCCACCACATCATCTACAAGCGCGAGGCTTCCGCCGCAGAAGAGCAACTGAGTGACTTTGGTAAGACAAATTTTGATACAGCCCCATCAATCCACGCCCCTGAGAAGCAGGCTACGTTCTTAATGGGCGCATTGACCCATAGAAAGCCATAGAAAACCCCGGCCTAAGCCCATGGCCCATAAATCTCGGGCTAGAGATCGACGTGATGCCGATAGCATTTCCTGCTCAACGAAAAAAAAAAAAAAGAAGATACGCTTATTCACAAAAGCCGAAGAGTTCAATGTAACATTTCGCCCTTCGCCGAATGCATTTACCTCTGCAGTTGTGGTGGCGCCAAAATTCCAGCGATAATCGCTATAAAATTATTTATTTTATGCCTGGTATTTCTCATGTGTCGACTTCTGCCGAAATGCCCCCAAAAATTATTCCCAATACAGTTAAATGCGGCGGCTACCTGACTTCAGCCAGCTTCTTATATCATAATAAAGACATTCCACCACTCGATTTTTGCTTAATTTTCGTTTAATTCGCCGTTTCCGGTTATCTTATTTTTTCGGGCATATAATACAGCCTTCATGGAACCTGATGATCTGCTGGCCAGCGAAAAGCTCGAGAGGTTGCAGCGCCGCCAGCGTCGCAGTCCACGCAGTGCGCCCAGCAGTCCCGATTTCGAGGATCTCAACGACGAGGACGAAGGAGCCCTGGAGACGGAACCCCAAGTGGCCGAGTCCCGGACTCGATCCCGTCGTCAGGCGCCGTACATCATCTATCCCGAGGTCTTGGTTATCGTCGACTACGACGGCTATCGGCTGCATGGCGGCGATAATTTGCAGGTACGTGTGCGTGACAGGGCCAGAAAAAACACAAATACGAAATGGGGAAAAAATGGGGAAAAAAGAAATTAAAAGCCGTTGGCTTGAATGAAGTTGTTTCGGCAATTGCAGACAGCTGGAATTGAGTTTGGGATTGTCTCTGCGTGTGTGCGGATTTTCGATACGATACGATACCCGAACCAAACCCAACCCGGAGGGGATTTCAAAGTCTGAGGATTTTGTAAAAGTTGTTTTTTGTTGGTTTCTCGCTGGCTACATGTGTAGATATTATGCGAGTCGAGACATGTGTTCGTATTGATAGATAGGTCTGGTTGTGAATGAGACTCGAATCCCCAAAGGGGATTATATTGGAGGAATGGCGGATTTATTAAGGCAATATATTTTATTAGAGCAATGGTTGAGGCTTTCGGAAAAGTAACTTAAACAGTTTAAACACTTCTGACTGAACTATAACTCCTTAGCCTAATCCAAACACTCAAGTTCTTGATCAGCACTCAGATATAGTTCTTGATTTGTGGCTTCTTAGATGCCCAAACACATGATATAATTGTTATGCACATCACTCTCGCTCAAGATTTATAAGTCTGCCTATTCTGGGTGCGTTGTAGCTCAAAGAATACCTAGAATACCCGGAGATGCGGCTCAGATGAAAGCCTTATAGAGATGCGAGTACCTGACAAAGACAAACGTGCACTGCGACCAAACTTTAACTGAATTATAATTTATAAATATCTTATCACCCAGGTCAAGCGTTACTTCATCTCGTTCTGGAACGGAGTCGATCTGCGCTATCGCCTGCTGAAGGGGCCAAGAATACGTATCAGCATTGCCGGCATTATCATTTCGAGGGTAAGTAAATATGGAAAATATTATTTTAGATTATATCACTTAGATTGCCTTTTTTAATGATTTCACAAAAGTCCACTTTTTTATTTGTACATCCGAATCAAGCTCCTTTAAATACCCCTCCAGCCAGGGATCATTACACAATAGCAGCAATTCGACTTTCATTTGGCTAATTGAGTAATCCATTTTGGTAGCTAAGCTTTGACCCCTGGCCAAAATGGGTCTTGCCAATCGGGGCAGCAGCTCTCCTTCACAGTTCGAGCCCAAGTAGCCGCCAGCTAGCCCAACTCGGCCAAGTCAGCTCCAAATGAACTGTCACGATCTGGGAATCTGGCAGGGAAATACTGGCAGCAAAAACATGCAACGCATGCGCTTCGATTCGCTAGAAAAAATGTGGACAATCAATTTGGTTATTTGCTCGGCCGAAGCACACAAAAAGCTGGGACAACAAATTTTAACAAGTTTTTTACTCGTGCGCCTGCTTTGTGAAACTGGCTAAATGTTTTTCTAGAAATTAGCAACCGAAATACTTTATGGGCACGCGAATCGAGTTGGCCAAAAAAGTTGGCTTTAACCTTCTGGCACATCCAAGATTTACTGTAATAGTTTATGAAGGCGAATCGGTTTAAGACACTATAAATTGGGTTAAACTGCTTTAAGGTGGCTAAAAGTTAAAATTTTATTACTCAAAAAACCACTTCAAACTGACTTAAGCCAGAAGCTAATTATTTTAGAACCCTAAAAAGAAATACGAGCAATGACCATAAAAATATGGCTTTCGCTTCCTCTTACAGCGACTTGAGCTGTCGTGAGCGATCTCTTTGATGTCTGTTAACATCTTTCACTTATCAACATTCAACTAATTTGATTGCATAAGCGAAAACCATAAAACACTTTGACAACATTATAGCATCGTGGCTTCGTTTTGTCTCAATACTGCGGGCCGAAGAGACCCGACTTTCGGTTAGACTTTCTCACACAAATCAGTTTGGCGTTGGTTCAGGAAGCCATTTGTCGTTTGGCCAAGAGAGAGAGGAGCTGGGAGAGAGGAGCGAGTGCAGTGGGCCAAGAAAGTGGAAAATTGGCACACGAAGGGGGGAGAGTGCCTCGGCTCACCTGCAGCAGCGTCAGTTGCATCAAGCTGGCTGCCCACACGACAACTCCACATCGAGGAGACAACGATGTCGACGGGTTACCCTAAGTACGTCAATTGGCTTTGGCTTTGCTTTTTCGGCTCTGGCGGCGGAGGTAAAAAGTAAGAAAAAAATTATATTCAGACCGCATAAATAATGCAACAGTGCCTGCTGCAACTGCGTGTTGGCCGTGGTTACATAATCTAATGGGCCACGCTAACTGCAGTCGCTGCAGTTGCAGTTGACTCAGATCAGATTTTTTTGGCTGGCCTGCTGTTTTTTTCTTTTCCCCTTTTTGCCCAATTTCACACACACACTCAGTAGACTTCCTCTTCTATGCCCACACACATATACGGGCAATGCGTATCTGGTGGATACAGGTGGAGATACTTTTTGTATCTAAGCATCCGTCGCTAAACATTTTTTCATTTTTTGCGACGCTAATTAATGTTGCTGCAGGCCAGGCGAGAAATGGAAGTCGGGTAATTACTCAGAATGCGAATTGGGCAACAAATTATTGGATACACATATCCGATAAGTCGACGCAATGGAAAAACAAGAAACCCGAACGGATTTATTGGATATTTGCGTCATTTTATCGGAAGAGATTGGTCTGATAAACTGTTTGGTCACCCGAAGCTCGTGCCGATCGCTTTACATATTAAACCATTGTTCGAGAAAAAACCCAAACAACTTGACCCCAAAAGCCAATCGTTTATTTCATAAAACAAAAAGCCAGCAAATGCACGAAATCCCAAGTCACATAAATTAATCACCCATTGACAAATAACTAAGAGAATTACTTAGGAGTCGTCGAGATCTACGAGAGTTGTTCAATTAATTGATTTTGGCTGGGAGTCGAAAAATAAATAAATAAGTCGCAACAAAATGACAACAAAACGCTGCAACATTAATAAGCCATAAACTGCGTAACTCAACTGAGTGCGATTGGGGTCCGAAGGCGTTAAGAACCGCAAATCTAGCCTGGTTAAGAGCACTATTTTTTATTCCGCGGAGGCAGAACAATGAGCTGCGACCGAGTGCCAGGCCAGTTACTTTTAAAAGCAAAACTTGGCTAAATCAAAAATTCTAATCGAGTGGCCAGCGCTCAAATTACATTTTGCCAGGGGAATATTAAATGGTTTTTAACTTAGTATGAATGGGTAGGAGAAGGTGTATTAGCTGGAGAAAAAGTTATATAAATCTCTTTAAAGTATTTGATTAGATTTATTGATGGGGAATTAAATGGGGATTGGTTAAAGACTTATGCCAATAAAAATACCCATATATATATTTAGCAACAGGCCTATAATCCCCTGCGAAACTTAATACTAAGTAACAAGCCGTCGAGCTTTGACATATTTCTCCATGTTCGCCACACGATACGCACCTAATAAATTGCCCATACGCAACGTGGCCGCCGTTGGACGCCGCTGAAATATGTGTGTGGCGCAAGCGCAGCGCCAATGCGTTCGACACTTGTAGCTAAAACAGAAGGCAAAAATGTGGGGCGAAGACAAAGGGGGCTGGTTGTTTAACTTCTAACGGAAAGTTGCCCGCAATTAATTAAAATGTTAATTAAATGTCACAGATAAAAGTTCAAGTCAAGTCGGTAGCCGACTTAAGCTACCCCCACGCCAATTCCGATACGATACGATCCAATCCGGGCTGATCTGATATATAGTGTTGGCTTTATAAATCTATATCTATGACTTGTTATGATCACCTGCACACAGTGCTATCAGCCCAAGGAATGCCACGCAGTTGATTAATTGATCCGCTTGGGTGGAGCCAAAGAAAAGAGCCGGGTTTCCAGAATTCTGATAATCGAGACCGGGCTATCCCAATTTCAGCGCCAATCGACATTCTCCACTCGCTCTTATCTCGACGACTCTATCTAAAGTGCCACAGAAATGCCAAATAATGCACGAGCGACACACCCAAAAGTCTCGATGCCTTTTCCAGCCAGTTCTCATATTTGCCAGTTGTCATAACAAATTCCTCGGCTAACGAAGCTGGGCCACAAAAGTTCGGGATAGGGCAGGCCAGGTGTTGCCCCCAGGGCACATTTCTCGTACTCGTACTCCCAGACCCATATCCATATCCATATCCATATCCATATCCACATCCACATATGTATAAGCCAGTGGTATATAGAGTGCCGGTAGCCAAAAATGCAAGTGCCAGGCAAACATAAATTGCAATAATGCAAATGGAAACGTGAAGCGAAGCTCGGACAGAGAGCGACAAACAAACAAATAAATAAATAAACAAATGAATGTTCGCCAGCGGCGGTGTTGGAAAAGCCGGAAAAGTCGCCGGGATTTGAGGGGCACTTCAACACTCTAACGGGAAATGGCTTTTATGAAAAATGGTTTAACTGGTTGTGGCTTATATTCCACTGACATACTAACAAGAAATACTTATAGAAATACCATAGAAATATTTAAGATTTATTTCGCAAACAAAAGATAAAATATGAAAATTTCCAAATTAAAGGAGATTTTTCCAAGTTTTTATACCTTTTTGGCTTTACAAAAATAAAACTCCTAAGTCATCAGGGTACACAATTTATAAGGTACCTAAACTTTTTTAATCCCAAAAATATTAGAAATTATACATAGAAATAAGAAAATTAATTTGTGAAGTTAGAGTAGTTAGTGTTTAGTTTCTTTGATGATAGGAAAATCGACATCAGGGTATTGAAAACGAAAATAGCTGGGAATGAAAGTGCAAAGAGATTATAATGATATTTTTGAGAAACTTCTTCATCAGTTCAATATGGTTTCTTGTAGGGTATGGGAAAAGGAAAGGTATCCCCCATATCTTGACCCAAAAGCCTGTCGGCTCTGTGGGTGGTGGCCCGATCCGCCGCCTGTCGCCCAAGTCCGACTTATCCGCTGTGTGGGCGCCGAAAGTCAAAGCGTATGTCATTGGAGGGGGCGGAAGGGTGGTGGCTATAGCTTTTCGGCTTCTTGGGCTGGGTGTGTGTGTCCGAGTGGGTGTGAGCCGCCTTGGTTGTCCACCACCCTGTTGGATTGCTGGATAGTTTAGTGAGCCTTGCGAAATGCTAGAAATTACAGGCAATTGCATTGACAGTTTTTTTTTTGGGACCGCAAGATTTATATGCCCGGCCCAGGGAAAGGAGCTGGAAAACCTGAAAACTGAAAAATTAAATTAAAATATAACATTTTGCTTTTAATTACGCACAAAAGGCTATTGCAAAACTGTCGCGGGGCCTTAGTTTATTTTTAATTTTTGGGGGAAAGGCAAACCGGTCCCGGTTTTAGTGGCTTGGTTGCATTTTAGGTCCTACTGACAGTTTCTTTGATAGTCTTACGTTTTTTTTGGTCCGATTATTTGACAAATGTTTTTTCTTTTTCTTGGATCGTTGGGGTAACCACTTGCATTGTGCAATCTGTAATCAAAGATGTGCCAGGTCATCCATGGTCCAGTGGTTTCGGGAGATTGTGCCTAGACACAATATTTGTCGGTGGTCTACCTCAGTCTGGGCTTTGCTTTTTTCTCTTTCCCATGCCAACTTGTGTGACGTTGATGACCGTGTATCCCATACTGGGAATCACTGAAGTTGAGAGCTGGGCAATGAAAAAGGCCGCTAAACAATTAGTTTGCCTGCTGCCTGGATTAAGGAAGCGGTCTTTTGAGTTACGCAACGAAAAACAAACAATAGTTTAAAAGTGTATATCAATATTTACCCATTTCAATTGCTTTTCGCCTTTGAACAAGTTACAATTACAGCTGATCAGCAAACAACTTGAGTGAATCTTCAAGATCTTCAGCTTGAGACAGAGACTGCTCTAATAAACCACTCAAAATGCAATTCAACAATAATTGTTTGTAATTTGGTGGATTCCAATCCAAAGCCAGTTGCCTTTCCCACTTGGCCCAAGGCCGCGGCAATCGAAGCATTTAAAATTCTTGATAGTTTTGTCTGTCGAAAATTGCCGAAAAAAATCAATTCGAATTACTGACTTCTTTCGGGAGAACGACGTGCCCGCACTTTGAAATGATCAATGTGTCAGATCGTCCGAAGAGTTGGACGGGAATGAGGCAGAAACGAAACGGATAGACTTCGAGTGCGGACTTTTAATGTTTATTTAGATTCAGATTCAGATTCAAATTCAGATACAGATACACCCAATCGAGCGGATACGTTTTGCATCTCATTTGGCAATAAACAGATTTCAAAACTGCGGTGTTTCTTGGTTTCCAGATCACTTTGTCAGACTGTGTTCATTTCCTAGACATCTGCTGTCTGTCCGACTAGTTGGTAATTTATCAAAAGTCTTGGCTCCGACTTCGGTGCGCCGGCTTAGGAATAGATACAAGCGAAGCTCAGAGACGGAGTATCTCCGAGATTGTTTTCCAGTTGGCAAATGGCCGCAAATCAAATGTGTCAACCGAGTGCGGTTTGTCACTTAACTTTGGTTTTATCACCTGCACCTCCGGTGGAAACTGGAAGTGGAAACTGCAACTGGTTCGGGCGCACAGATTAGCTCTGGATCCGCATTAACATATTGATTTGCCTAGGGCTCAAAGTGATTGACAATTGTGTTATTTTAATTTATGTAGCTGTCACTTCGGTAAATCTAAAACGCCCCTTCGGTCACGATATTAGCGCTTACGTATCCGTGGATTTACCTGGATTTACGAGTGCTGAAAGTTGCCCTCGGAGGTGCATACGGTGCATACACAGCTGATGAAATTGCCACTGCCACTGCAACTGCAACTGCAGCTCCAATTATGCAACGCACAATTGCAACTGGTTTCCACTGCGGCAGCCTAACAATCAAAAGCAACGAATTTCCAAAGGAAACCCACACGACTTTGACTTTGCTTGGCTTGATCATCATCTGTACACTCAAAAAAACAGTCTTTAAAAGGAAATTACATGCATTTAAAATTGTAAATTTGTTTTCTTTTATGAAATATGCATTATTTCCTAATAATAATCACATCTCATGAACTTCAACAAAAACTATCAACATTTTTGTTGAGTGCAACTAATGATGATCATCTGCTGCATTGGCCTTATCGCTAGGCTCGGTTTTAGCAGCACGTTTTTCACGTTCACTTGATTTCCGTTTCGACTTCGGTTTCCAGCTTCATTTTCACCGACGAATGGGCCATAAATATTTCACTCGAAGCTCTTTTCATTCGCTCAGTCAAATGCCAAATCGGTTGCATCATCGCATTGAAAGCTTCCTTGGGGCGATTTTGTCGAATATTTTGCAATTTTCACTACCTGATGATGGCCTACTGTATTCTAATGTGGGTCGCAGGGTTCAATGGGGCTTTTGTTGGGGACTTTACGAGCCATAAATGTCAGCCCCAGGGATTGAATTTAAAGGCTTATATTGGCATAGATCGAAAGGAGGGAATCCAGGTTGCCAGCTGCTTGCCTTAAAAAAGTTAATGTAGTTTAGTACTCAAATCATTTTAGTTAGTTAGTTAAAGTTTTGATTAAACAGAAACCTGCGTCATAAATTCATAATATTTAATATATTCGTAAATAAATTATATTTAAAATATGTCCAAAAAAAAAACGCATTTTTAACCCAAAAACTCAATCTTTTTCAGGGTCGTGATGCCACTCCCTATCTGGAACGCAATCGTGTGGGTCGGGATGCCATCGATTCGGCTGCTGCCCTCACGGACATGGGAAAATATTTGTTCCGGGAGCGTCGACTACCGGTCTACGACATTGCCGTTGCCATAACCAAGTGAGTGGTCTGGGGAATGGGCCTAGTTACCTCCTTGTGTTTTGTGTTCTCGTTGCAGCATCGACAGCAGACTTCTCCCCACGCGATTCCCTCTATCTTACCCCTATAATTCCTTATCCACTTTACCAAAGATTTCCCAGAAAATTACCTATATATATAATGTCTACTCGTGTCTAGGTATGATATGTGTCGCAGGCGCAAAGGAGGTCGCTGCACCAAGGGCACAGCGGGTAAAAAGATTTTAAAGAAATTCCAAACAAATCCTAGACTTATCCCCACGACACTCATACATTACACATAGAACACACACCTAGAACAAATGTCATTGCGGGTGTTTAACATACTTTAGTCAGTTCTCGGTTTGCACCTTTTAAGCTACAAACAAACACCTAAAAAACAAAACCCAGTAAAGTGGACTAAAATTGCGTGTGGGTCTTAATAAATTACTACCACAATTACACGACACACATACTCACAAGAAACATTAAAATTACAACATTTGAGCAAAGGAAAAAAGTTAATCTCGAAGCGTTAAACTAATTTGAGTAGCGAATCGGTCCATAAAGCATAAAACCGGTTGATTTATTTAGTATATTGTATCTGCTTAAAGGTCTCATTGGTTGAAGCGAACATTTACATCAAGATTTAGTATTTAATTGTGGTTTATGCGCCTAAATTATTGGATACTCTTTATGGACCAAATAACCCAATTAGTTAAAGTTGAAGGAATATTGGATTTAATTTTAGATATTTTAGTTACTCTAGCCTTCGGATCTCCGAAGATAGGAATATTCTACTTTTCCCCTTGCTCTTGACTCTAAAAATGCAACCTAGCCCCGCAATATTGGCGCGCAATTACTATTGCCTGATTGCCAATTGGGCAGGTCTACATAATGACAAAACAACTATCGATCAAGCACCGAGAGGAGATAATTGATGAAATGAAGCTGAAAACCCCCAAAAGAAACCAAATCTAAAATTTCTACGCATTTTTGAACAATTTTCGCCCGCAGACTCGATATGTGCCGTCGCACCTCCGCTTATGGCGAATGTAATCGCGGTACCGCAGGTAAAGACCCAACCAATAGCTGGCAATTTGTTAGCCAACATCTGTACAGATAAATGCAAAAAAACAAAAACAAAAAATGATACAAAAAAGAAACACAGAAGTTAAGCAAACGCGTTAAAAATAAATAACATTAAAGGCGGCCACCGCCAAACCCAAAAATGCGTCGCTCCATCATCAACCAAATCAAGCAAATTTAATTGAATTTCATGCACGTCTCTTTGTCTCTATTTTTATCCTCGCTCCCTCTCTCTCTCTGTCCACTGCTGTGCCACCACTCTCTTTTCTGAGATCTGAAAACTATATCTTTTATGTGTACTTCTTTGTGTCGCACGCGCCTTTTGTACAGCAAGAAGAACAAGAACAGGAAATCGGCTGCGCATGCGCCATCTTGGCAAATGCTCTTCAGAACTGTACAGAGTCCTACCTACTTATAAAGAGCCTCTTGAAATCTTTAGTAAAGTCCCAAGAACTTTACTGTCTTATATGACGACTATCATATTGTATATCCTCTTCTACTCTTATCGATTTGTTCAATGAACAACGGTTTCAGTTATCGTATGAGCTTTGCAATCTTTTGAAGAGGTGTCTTAAAAAATTGTGTATGTTTTTGCGTACTTTTTAGACACCCTTTCAAGTAGATTTTAATAAAACCAATACTTGAATATATGCTGTGTGTCTCAACCAAACTATTTTTCACACAAATTGTGTGTCAACTGCATGTAATATATGCATCAATAAACAATGGCTTTCGAAGTTTCCCTTCCTATCTAAATGTGAAATATCAACTCTTCAAAATATATATGTGTAATACCTAACCAAAAATGTATATTCTTTAGTTTCAGCGGCTAAACTAAAAAAAAAATGAAAAGAGCAACAAAAAACTTACTTAAGAAAGATAAGTTTAAGTAAAGAAACGAATATCTTAAGTTTTTTATTTACTTAAATAATATCAAATTAATAAAAAACGGTTGTGGATTTACTAACATTGGTCTATTTAGAACTACACTTATGCTACCTAATAAACTTTTATGGGCAGTGGACAAACTTAGTCTAAGCAATGGTAATTGTGACTAAATTTACACATTAAATGCACCTACTAATTAATTGCTCTCTCACATCAAATCACATCCACCAAAGCGACCCGCTTCTCCCAGCGGTTACAGTTATTATGTAAAAATAAAATATATTACAATGTTTGAAAGTGAAAAAGAGAAACAAATTGCTCAGTTGCGAAAAAAAACATTAGATTTTTCATTTAATAACTGCAACGGCGACGGCGGCTTGGAAAAAATTGTCAACTTCCTGTTGGACAAGAAACAAGAAAGAAAATGCAACTGAGTAAAACAACCCACTAATTGCCTAATTTCGGTCGTGTATTTTCTTTCGGAAAAGGCTTTGCTTACGTCGGTGGCGCATGCGTGGTGAACAAGCGACTGGAGAAGGTGAACAGCGTGGCCATCATCGAAGATACCGGCGGTTTCAGCGGCATCATCGTGGCTGCCCATGAAGTTGGACATCTGTAAGTAAACATCATACCCGGTAAAACAAAAAAAAATTTTTGAAAATATTTTACATTTATTTTTGAAGACTCTTTCATAAATACTTTCCAATTTAAAACTTTGTTATTGTAAAAATGATCAAATTGTGAACTTGTTGATCTGATACCTGGGCTTTTTTTACTTGTCCGTCAAAACGGAACCTTTTTTCCGCACTATTTCCATCAAACTCAAACTATTTAACGCCCCGAATCACCGATTCGAATTTCATTTGGCGCCCAAACTAATAAAAAACATGAATAATTTCCGCTGCTGTAAACTGGTCATTGAAACTCGTTTGCATTTCCGTTTGACATCATTCGGGGTGCAATTAATCAATTAACATTTTTCCCCCCTCAATCAAAATGTGTCCCATGCTCGTTTCTCAGGTTGGGAGCGGTGCATGACGGTTCGCCGCCGCCCAGTTACTTGGGTGGACCAGGTGCCCAGCGGTGCCGCTGGGAGGATGGCTACATCATGTCCGATCTGCGCCACACGGAGCGGGGCTTCAGATGGTCGGCCTGCACGGTGCAGAGCTTCCACCACTTCCTCAAGTGAGTTTTTAATTGGTTTTCTTGCCTTGAAATATGCTGATGATGATGTTTTTCCAGTGGAGATACGGCCACCTGCCTGCACAATGCCCCGCATGAGGACAGCGCCCTGGGTAGATCCCTGCCAGGAACCCTGCTCTCGCTGGACGCCCAGTGCCGCCGGGATCGGGGAACGTATGCCTGCTTCAAGGACGAGCGAGTGTGTGCCCAGCTCTTCTGCTTCGACGCCCAGACGGGATACTGTGTGGCCTACAGACCAGCGGCCGAGGGTTCGGCCTGCGGAAATGGTTACGTAAGTAGTCGGGGAAGTGTTGTGATAGAAATTCTCGTCAACGGACAGCTCCGGGTACAGACAAGCTTATTGTTCTGGGGTGTACTAAATAGAAACAAAAGTCATAATAGTTTTAGACCTCAGAAATGACCATACAATTACTTAACTCATTAAAAAAGAAAGATTTTACAATATTCTTTACAATTCATCTTGAAGGGATCTCTCCCTTGAGCGGACAAAATTTTAATTTAGCCCTCGGTCTACAATTCTTAAGCTTTAACTTTAATGTAACCCCAAATTAACCCACTACCACTTTAATCAATCAGCACTGTCTGGATGGTCGCTGCACACCACTGCCCTCGAACATCATTCCCGATTACGGACACAACTATCGTTTGGTCTACAAGTGAGTACAGTAAAATAGGTAACATAATTAGAAAAAGACTGTTTTTTCAGTAGTTTTGTTGTGTAAGCTAAGAGTTCTCTAATTACTAAAATACACGAAAGACACATAACTTTTGAGTTACAAACAAGTACACAAAAACACTCCGAAAGCAAATTTTTTAATATACAAACCTTTACACCTTTACACACCAATTCGAAACCAAACAACAATACCAACACCAAAAATCACACAACAACCAAACCAAACAACAATAGTAAAATCAACAACAAGAAAGATGCGACCGAGGATATTGAGAGTAGTAGTGAGGAGACCGAGTCCCAGGAGGACGAGAATGAGAGTAATGAGGATCAGGATGAGGGCAACACTAGTAGCGAGGAGCAGGAGGCCAATCAGCAGGACAACAAGATCGAGCAGAGCTCTGCAGCTGTCGCAGCTGCTGTGACGTCGACGACGACAACAACCGTCAAACCCACGACAACCACTGTAAGGACAACAACGACAACAACCACTGCGAGGCCCAAGTCCAAGTCCTTTGGCTATCTGCATCGCAGCCTTCCCGAACGACAGTGGATGCAGGACGATGGTGTGCTGGTCACGACGCGCATCAGCAGCAGCGTCAGCAGCAGCAGCAACTCCAATGGCAACCACAACAACGACCCCTCAGCAACATCAACACCCAAAAGCAGAACAACAACCACACAAACACCGAACCTATTCCAATTCTATACACACGAACTACGCAAACAAATCGAATACTATTTACACATGCTACAGACACAACAACATGCTACCAAATTGCAACCAGAACAACAGCAACAGCAGTCACAACAACAACAGTCGATAGTTGAAATCCCTTTGGTACAAAAACGCCTTACAAATTATAGTGTAACCAGCAGCAGCAGCAGCAGCAACGGGGCAAAGCAACAGCCACCGAGCACCAAGGACGAGAAACAGAGACAGCAGCAGCAGCAACAGCAGCAGCAACACCTTCAGGAGCAGCAGCAACTGCAGGATGGGCTGCCCGATGAGGAGAACGAGGCGACTGCCGGCATTCAGAGCAATGAAGCGATTGAGCGGCAAAAACGTAAGTTCCCCACACCACCCACAGCAGCAACCAGTGCTGCCAAGACATCGGCAACATCAGCAACACCTGCAACACCCACATCAGCAACAACAACCACCGCCAAACCGATAACAACTTCATCATTCCTCGATGCGTACTTTAAAAAACTGCAAGCCTTGCATGATGGAGGATCGGCCAGTACCACCAGTACAACCACCTCTGTATCATCGTCAGTCAGCTCGGCAACATTCAGCAAGCAGCAGCAACAGCAACATGTGCAGCAGCAGCAGCCAGATGGCAGCGCCTTCTTGAAACGTACGCCAAATCGGAGTAGTTTTAAGGCATACAAAACTAGTAGTAGCAGTAGTAGTAACAGCAGTAGTCAGCCACAACAGCAACAATATGCGACAAACTATATTGGCGACACCACAAACAATCTGCCAGCGGTGTTGGACAACAGTAACAGTGCGTCGAGCACCACGGAAACCGCCAAGAAACCCAAAATCAAAACACAAAAACTAATAAGGCGAACACGAGTCATGTAAAGGCGATCCGATGAGAGGCGGCCGAGAACTCTGATACCAACTATCATAAGCTACTTACTACTCACTGCTAGCCAGAAGCTGCTTGAGAAACCGAACATCCAAACGAACCGAAGGCTCCCGCTCCCCAACAACATCAACATACAAAACCACACACACTAAACAAAGCAACACGCATCACACACAAGTAAATGCCAAACCGATCGAAACCGAAACAGATACCGATTCGTTATCCTTACGTGCGGTAAGCCCAAAACCAATCCAGCATTCAAATCGGGTTCTTAACTCCCTCTAGTAGTCTAAAGCTTTGCCCTAAAGTAGAGCATGGATGCGCGATAGTTTTTAGAAGTATTTTTATCTATTACGCTGCCTGCTCCTTAATAAATAAATATTTAATCCTGGTTGTTGAGTTTGAGGAAACGAAATGCAAGTGCTGAACTCATGCGTAATGGTCCATTTAGCTGTAATATGGATTACCCTCGTATTTTAAGCATTTGGCATCTGACATTATTGCATCGATCACCTTTAATCTCGTAGTGTGGAAACGCATTTGAATGCGTTCCAAAGTAGTAGTTCTTGAATCTTAATTTTGGCATGAACTAAGAATAATCTAGTATATCATTTCAGTCCACCCAATTTGAAGCGTAATCATTGTCTCCGAAAGGCAGGCAGAGCTCGGTTAGGACATTCGCATTCACACATCCGCAGACCTCATAAAGCATGCTTAAAAAAAACCTCTCATACCACCTCCTATCGAAATCGACGATCAGAGACCCATCGCTGATTATTTCTTTTTCTGCGCGGTTAATTTCTCGCCTTATTTTTCCAAAATTGCATCGAACACTCGTCCCCCACACTTAGAAAAAACAATAAAATCGAACTAGAAACAAATTGGCATTGAAACATGCACACACATACCAGCATACAAACATACACGCTCTTTTTCTCACACCACCACACAAGCATACACACTGTTTGAAGGCAAGACCAAAATAAACTATATCAAAACATCTTTAACTGTAGCAATAAGTTATATATTTGATCTACAAGAATGGCATGGAATCAAAGACGCATTCTGCATACTAAAAATAAGACAGCAAAATGGCAAAAGTGAAACAGAGTAATTTGGCAAATGGAAACGCATGGAATGGAACACACGCACATACCACACAACCACCCACGCAATTCAAAATGGCCGGCGTTCGCAAAAATATCTCTTAACTGCATACAAAATAAACCTCCAAGAATAGCTCATTGTTTTTGCACGCCCCACACGAAGTGTATTTTACCATTATCACTAATTTTCTTTGTTTTTCTTTTTTGTTTCCCCCGCTTCCGTTTCGTTTCCGCATTCCGCAGTGGTTAACTGGAAGCTGTTTCCATTCTAGTGAAAGTGCAAGGCAGCAACATTGGGGAACGTTTGGAACTGGCACGCTGACGTCACTGCCATGGAAATTGGAACAAATGTTTGCAGTTAAAAGTGTTTTTAGCTAGAATTTATTACTATTATAATCTGTATGAAACCCTATTGATTTGTTGTTAGTTCTAGCCGCAACTAATTTAAAATATTGTCTGTTAAATGCAACTCAAGCAACAGCGCAAAGTTGTTATGTTCAGTACATGCATATATTATGTAATTTAACTTAATGCAAATTCTTGTAAAATAGTACATATTATTCTGTAAAAAGTTCACCTACACACGCACTTTTGGCAGACAACCTAAATTATTCTTTGATCCACAAATCAATCGAAAGGAAAATTAATAATAATCCCACTTTCCAATGTGATAAACATATATAATTTGTACTCTTTACTTAACAAAATATTTATCATTTTCTGTTAGAAAATTGCTAGAAAGGTTTAGAAGCGTTCATTTACTTACCTTGCCGCACTTTGCCTACAAGAAAACTTAAATTTTTCATTCATTAATGTATTAAATTTGTTAGAAGTCTAAATTAAAACAAAAATCATCACTCTACGTTTACCTAGCCTAATGCTCTTTTTATGCAGCAATAAAAATGTAATAGCTAAGTTTTAGTTGTAGTTAACTGAACATCGTAAAATAAATGAAACTGTAAATTTATCACACACACAAAAGAAACAAAAGCATAATTTAAGAACAAATATATATAAAGAAGATTTATTTGTACAAAATAAAGATTTGCCTTTTTATTTGACGGTTTAATATACCTTCCGTGCTATGAAATATTGCAGCGATAACTGCTTTGACTAAAAAATTAAAAAGTATAAGTGTGTTTTCAGTCTAGCAAGATAGTAAAAGCATAGATGATAAAATTTATTCGCAGCCAAGAAGTACAGTTTTTCTTATCGCTAGCTTAGAAAGTGACACAGCGCTAAACCAAAGGTCCAATCACCAAAAAGTAGAAAACTAAATCAAAACAGCAATTAACAAGTTTATGTAAATGAAGTAAGGTATAAAATCTCCTGGCAAGTCCAGCATTTTGGGATCTATGGGATATAAATCCATTTAGGCACCCTTTGTGCCGGTGGGCATTAGATAGCGATTGTAGGTGGCCACATTTTTAACCAAAGCGGCCACGGAGAGCATGCAGACTACTCCGGCGGGCATTAGTTTTCCCGAACGATTCCACCTTGCGCCCATTAATCCGGCCAAGAACAGGGAGGTGCCCAGTTGCAGGAGGGGGCGTGGCGTGTCCTGGGAGTTAAGGTGGGCTCCATAGCCCAGAAGTGCTCCAAAGGCCAGACCGGCACCGAGCGAAGGAATGGAACCTGCAAATGCATGAGGTTGCACAATAGAATGTGGGAACAGATATGATCTAGGGGCATCCGAACTCACCCGCCTTCGCGAATCCCACGATTCCTCCGGCGGCCACCGTTGCAGCGTAGACATATCCGAACCAATCCACCGGCATTTTGCTTTATTTTCCTTAAATTACTTGGTAACCTTTGTTTTGGTGGCAATTGTACATATGATATGACCCTTTGGTTATAGCACTATAATCTCCAAATTGAACAGACGAAAATTAAATTATCTGGCATCACTGTTATTTTGTGGCGGTCTTTTCAAACATGGTTCGTTGCATGGCAAAATAAAGATGTAGATCGTTAACACAGATGAGTCGCTCTACAAAACACTTAAAAATATTATAATATTAACATGAGCATGAATGATAAAAACATGTTGTAAATAAGTCATAAGAATATTTAGTTTACAGAAAGATAATCAAATTTAATGATTTCTTCAAAAAAACACTATTCTTCATAGTAATTTTAAAGAACTCATAGATTTAGCTTTTTTACAGAAAGATAACAAAGTAATGGTTTATACAAAATCAACTCTATTCTTCATAATTAGGTTAAAGAAAATACAGAAAGATAACAATTTTCGTAGTTATTTGTTAAATCTAAACTATTGTTCAAATTATTTTAAGAACTCAATAGATTTGAAACTTTTTACAAGACGGAGTTGGCTTATACAAAATCAACTGCTCTGTCACACTATAAAGCAGGGGTATTCAATTACATACATAGAACCACATACAGTTACGATTAAAATTATATTCCAGATCACTATAGAACGTCCATGTTATAAAATGGGAATACATATATGGTCACTATAATACCACCCAAAAACTTTTTGAATTTTTTTAATGCAGTTTATTTTATTTTGCCATTTTAATATGTGCTTTGATTTGAAATGGCGATTTTAAAGGACCTTCAGATCCTTAGAATCGGACCCTGCGTTCACGGGTTCTGATTTGTCGCCTGCGACGACGACTTCCCTGGTTTCCAGTCTGGCGACGCACCTGGTTCTGCTGGCGCTCCCGACGACAACGTCGCAACTGTTTCCTAAGCCTGCGAATCTGGCCTCGCATTCTGGTCGCCTCTTCCTCGGTGACGGAGGACGACGAGCTACTGTCACTAGGAGTGGGGGACGTACTGGGCGAAGTGGACGGTGTGGAAGGACTTGGCGAAGCTGGAGTTGTTGGGGACGTCGACGGTGAGGTGCTTGGAGTGCTAGGAGAAGTCGGAGTGGTTGGAGAGGTGCTTGGAGAGGTGCTTGGAGTGGTTGGAGAAGTGGGCGAAGTTGGAGAAGTAGATGGATCGGTTGGAGTGCTTGGCGAAGCCGGAGTCGATCCTGCGGCGTAGGCAGTCGCAGCAAGGGCCAAAAGGCCGAGGGCGAGGACGAATTGGGAACGCATCTTTAGCTCTGTCTGTCACTTAGTGGAGTACTGTGTATGTTCCGGCTTAAAGTCGAGTTTTTATAGGGGAGATCCCAATTGATCTGGTCTAATTGCTGAATCTGTGTTTGCTCTTCCTCGCCACATGTCAAATATGGCCTGTTGAGGATTCTTTATTTGCTTGCCAAGACAAACAGATTCCATTGTGTATGAGGGGTGAAAAGATGGGGCGATCTTCTTTAAAAGAGCTGAAAGCTAAATATGACTGTGGAAAGTTTCTTTGTATTTCTAATTAAAACAATAGCGAATTTTTGGATTGGCTGCTACTAACAATGTATTGTTAGCAAGTGTGTAAACACAGGCACCTTAGAAAACAATTAGATGAATAGCTATTGTTTACCCGCTTAAGCTACAAAAAAAAAAACTTTAAAACAACTGTAATAATTGTCAAATAGGCCCCAACCAGCAAAGTCAATCTACTAAGTAAATGCATTTCACAAAACAAATACAAAGCATGATCTAAAAAAAAAAAACTATTTTAATAGTTACGTAACAATCTTTTTTGGTCAATTTTACCAAGCAAATTTTTTTGTGTGTACCAAACCATATTTAAATAAACGCGAGCACTGAAGCATTTTGGCACTGAGAAAGCTTTCATGAAAGCATGATCTTAAATTCAAGCTAAATATCTCAGCTTGTACGTCGCCAAAATTTTCCATTTAAAGTTTCCAGTCTCGCCAAATGGTCATTTTTCAAATTTCATAATTTCCATAGTTCATTCAAAAACTGTACTGAATTGAGATTTTCCTTTTTAATTTCGGAACGGAGTCCTGACGTGGTAGTTCTTTTTTTAAATTACTTTAGAGAGCTGTTAAAGGAAAAGTTTAAATTTGTTTAAGTAGTGCTTACAATACAAAAAATCCACATGGAAACCCACTAAAAAGCTATTTATCAAAATTAATATTTTTTAATTTAATATCTTAACTTTTTTTTAAAAAGTTGATAGGTATAGAAAATTGCTTAGTAAAAAGTTGAAACAAAGATAGCTACGAAACCACAAAATAGTTAGTGTATTTTTTGTAACTCTAGGTATTCAAAACCTGTCTTTTCATATCATCATTTGTATTTTGTTGTCAATTTGAAATGTACTATTTACTTAGTAGAATTGACAATTTTGCGGTTGGGGCCTGTTTGACAATTATTACCCCAGCGTTGATTTTACCTTTCAGACTCTTCCTTGTGTTTCTGCCTCTGTTGTATAGTAAGCTAAGTGCCGAAACCCAAACTGTCGTATATTCCTTGGTAAGGCTATACTCAAAACCAGGTGCTTTCATACATTAAGGTTATTAGTTTAATTTATCGAAAAAGGAATTTCAGAGTAATTTTTCTGTTAAATTAACCAAAAATTATTCTAAATATGGGGTATTTGAAGATAAAGAGATAAAGATAAAGCAAGAAAAGATAAAGACTTTTAACAGACGATAATTGAACTATCTGGTATCAAACCGTTCATCCATGTGGCCTGAGTGTTCTCAAACAGTAGGTCAATTTCACGGCAATTTATAGTTAACTGCCTTGAGTCCTTTTGCTAATATTCTTGTAGCATAACCGAACTTTTTGTAAATCGTTTAACATAGGGAAGTAGCTCGTAACAAAACAGGAAAATTTAGCTTCCATCGAAGTATAATCAAATTTAATGATGTCTTCAATAGTGTTATTTGTATATCCAAAATTGTTTGACCTAACAGCCAAACTAAAAGACTATTGGACCAAAAAATCACTTACATACATCGAGCCACATACAGTTTGGATCAAAATTATTCTCCAGATCACTGTTGTTCTATGTTGAATAGATAAAGCTCATTCACTATACTTTCGGAGTTGTTATTTCTTAGATCAATCGAATAGTACCAGTCAAAAACTTTTTTAGTTTTTTTAATGCAGTTTATTTTATTTTTCCATTTGCTTTTCAATTGCGATTTTAATGAACCTTCAGATCCCTAGAATCGGCCCCAGCGTTCACGGAATCTGCGCTGGAATTGTCGCCTGGGACGACGATTTCTTAGTCTCCAATTTTGGCGACGGTCCTGGCGCTCCCAGCGCTGCACGCGATTCAACCGCCTCCTAAGCCTGTTAATCTGGCCTTCCAATTTGGCCACCTCCTCCTCGGTGGCATAGTTGTCACTAGGAGTGGGGGGCGCACTGGGCGGAGAGGACGGCGTGGAAGGACTCGGCGAAGGTGGAGTCGTTGGTGACGTCGGCGGCGAGGTGCTTGGAGTGCTGGGAGAAGTCGGAGTGCTTGGAGAGGTAGGCGTAGTTGGAGAGGTGGGCGAGGTCGGAGAAGTCGGCGAGGTTGGAGTGGATGGATCGGTTGGTGGGGTGGCACCCGGAGTAGATCCTGCGGCGTAGGCAGTCGCAGCAAGGGCCAAAAGACCGAGGGCGAGGGCGAGGACGAATTGGTAACGCATCTTTAGCTCTGTCTGTCACTGAATGGAGTACTGTGTATATTTCGGCTTAAAGTCGAGTTTTTATAGGAGAGATTCCAATTGATCTGGTCTAATTGCTGAATCTGTATTTGCTCTTTACGCCACATGACAAATATGGCTTGTGGAGGATTCTTTATTTGCTTGCCAAGACAAACTAATTTCTTGCTGTATGCGGGGTGAAGAGATGAGGTGATCTTCTTAAAAACAGCTAAAGGCTAAATAGAATTGTGGAAAGTTTCCATGTTTTTTTAATGAAACTATAGCGAATTTTTGGATTAGCTGCTACTTATAATGTATTGATAGCAAGTGTGTAAACACAGGCACCTTGGATATTAATTACATGAGTAGTTATTGTTTATCCGTATCAAACAAAAATATATCGCCCTAACAGTAAACCATATTTATCCACCGCGAACATTGAAGCTTTTTCAGTGAAGATAAAGCTTTTGTGGTAGAAGAATAATTAAATGGCATTATAAAAATTCAAGCTTGAATGTAGGCTTCATCTTTTTTGGCATATTCCCAAAAAACACAAGAAAAAACGCCATAGTCGAGTGCCTCGACCATTAAATACCCGTTATTCCGCTAAACAACTTTAACATAAATATGGCTTCTTTTATGTTTTTTGCGCGCCCTATTTCAAATAATTCAGATTTTGCATTAACATATTGGGAATTATAGTGGCCAGAGGGTGTCATAAAAAGCAAATAGTTATGTTAATCACGAGTTTGTCGTGATTTCACACAGTAGGTTTTTTAAAGATAACAGTGGCGTAGCCTTAAAATTGTGGGGAGATATTTGTAATAGGCATACTAACCCCTTGAAAATATAATTTTTCGATGTTCGGCGCCTATGGCTAACCAAATTGAAAGGTAAATTTTTACGAATGTGTTAGATATTTATGTAAAATGGGATTTAAAAATACTTGTTACTTTTCACGTTCTTACGGAAAAAATTTTATAAATTCCATCCTTCCACGTACAATGGTCCTATTTATCTTAAAAATTCTCTTAGCCACTGTAAAATTTTCACCGGACATCGGGACATTCGAGGCGACAACATCTTGCGGGGCACCCCGCTTTTATAGTTTCCGAGATATCAGAGTTCATCCGGGCAGACAGATAGACTGACGGACATGGCTAGATCGACTCGGCTAATTATCGTGATCAAGAATATATGTGTATACGGTATAGGGTCTGTGCAACACTTTTCCAAATATCTTGTGTATTCCGTGTATATTTTCTTGAGCACATTGAAATTTGTTGTGATTAAAATACAATTGTTTAAAAACATATTAATAAGGCCATCTACTTCACATTTATTAAAGAAGATTTAATTTTTTCTGATAGCATTTGCCTCAAACAAATATGTAGGATTGGTTGCTTGATCTTGAGAGTTCAACAGGAGGTATAGCAATATTACTGTATGTGTTGCTCGTGTTTCAAAGCTGCACATCTTCGTGTAAAAAATTAATTTGGAAGGAATTTTAATTAATTTACAAAATGTAGATACCAATGCTATTTTAAAGCCAAACAAACCACAAAAGATAATAAAGACTGGACTTTTTTCAGTGTAAAATTTTTTTTTCTGTTCTAAAGCCAGAGAGGACAATACAATTTCCTTTCATAAAACCATTCTATTGCATTTTCTTAAAAATATTATTGACAAATTTCGGAAAGTCCTTTTCCGATTACTTAACCCCGACGTTGGCGCCTCCTTCCAGCACGCTTCTCCTGGCGCCTTTCCTTAATCTCCTGACGCCTTGCCCGTCGAGCCCGTCGTGCGGCTTGACGCCTCAGCCTCTGGAGCTTGCGAATCCTTTTCTTCAGTTTTTTCTCTTCCTCGGTGGTGTCGGAGGACGAGGAAGAGGAGTCGTCACTGTCACTGGGAGTGGAGGAGCTACTGCTTGTATCGGTTGAACTGGACGAAGGAGTTGATGTAGCCGGAGTGGTCGTGGAGTTCGAAGTGGAGGCAGGTGTGGTCGTGGTCGAGTTGGAGGTTGTGGAGTTTGTTGTTGTGGAATTTGAGGTGGATGAATCGGAAGGTGTGGTTGTGGCAGCAGCGGCATAAGCAGCCACCGCAAGAGCCACAATACCAAAGAAGACCAGGAAGAATTGGATTCGCATCTTAAGCTCTGTCTATCTCTCACTGTACTGAAGTACTGTGCAGACTCCGGCCTGAATTTGGGTATTTATAGGAATAATGGTAGGTGTTTTGGTCCAACATCTGAATCTGTGCCTGTTCTAAATCTTAGTGTGAATAATATGTCGCACGTGGCGCAGTAGGGTATTTGTTTAAGAAGTCTGGAAATGGCTATGGAAAGTTACTTTCTACATATATTTAGATATTTTAGCATTGGAGTATATTTAGATTTGTTTGCGCTAGTCTAATTTACCAAATGTGCAAACAATGTGTTTATTATTTGCTATTAAGTTACTCTTAACCATGCAAAACAGAAGGATTGTTTTAAGAGTTCATAATGACATGACGTTTTCGCCTAAAATACCAATACACATTTAAAAAGATATTTGTAATTTGGTCAAAACACAAATCAACTTACAAGGAATGACATTTTTTTTGAAGATAAGAAGTGGCTTAATAAGTAGGAAATATATTTATGCTGTTGAGGCTCTAAAACTTTTCGCCATATCGATCTCCCAATGAAATTATATGTAAGACATTCGAAGTCATACCATGTATTTTGTAACGAATTGTAATCTATAGTTAAGCTGTCACTTTAAGCTTGAGGAAACGCAATTGCTTTTTGTACATATGTATGCACGCTAGACTAACACAAAAAAAAAAAAAAAAATGGTCCATTGTGTTAGTTAACTTTTAGAAACTTTCCACAACCATTTTTAGACTTGTTTAAGAACTGGCGTACTAGGCCACGTGCCGCATATTCTTTACACTTAAATTTAGAACAGGCAGAGATTCAGATATTGTCGTGGTGCACTTAAGTTTTCCCCTATAAATACTCGAATTCAGTCCAGAGTCTGCACAGTACTTCAGTACAGTGAGAGATAGGCAGAGCTTAAGATGCGAATCCAATTCTTCCTGGTCTTCTGTGGTATTGTGGCTCTTGCGGTGGCTGCTTATGCCGCTGCTGCCACAACCACACCTACCGATTCATCCACCTCAAATTCCACAACAACAAACTCCACAACCTCCAATTCGACCACGACCACACCTTCCTCTACTTCGAACTCCACGACAACTCCGGCTACATCAACCCCTTCGTCCTCCTCAACCGATACAACCAGTAGCTCCTCCACTCCCAGTGACGACTCCTCTACCTCGACGTCCTCCACCTCCGACAACAGCAAGGAAGTGAAGAGGCTGGAGAGAAAGATTCGCAGGCTTCGGAGGCAGAGGCGCCAGGAAGCACGACAGCTACGACGGGCAAAGCGTCAAGAGAGGCAGCAAGAAAAACGCCACGAGAGGCGCCAGCAGAGGCGTTCTGGAAAGAGGCGCAATCGTCGTGGTTAAGTGATCCAAAAAGGATCCTCGGAATTCCACATTTAAATTGACAAACAAATTAAATAAAATGGCAATATGAAATGCAAATTGTTTGAATATGGGGTACCCAAAAAAGATCAAAATGAATTTATTCATTTGGATATCCTTGCAGAGGGTATTATAGTTTCAGTCAGAAGTTTGCAACGCAGTAAAGGAGACGTTTTCGACCACATAATGGATATGTATTTTTCCGAGAATATTTAATAGTTTCCGAGATCTCAGCTTTCGTCCGGTCGGAAAGACAGGCAGAAGGGGACATGGCTACATCGGCTCGGGTAGTGATCCTGATCAAGAATATATATAGTTTAAAGGGTTGGAAACGCGTCCTTCTACCTGTTACATAGTTTTGCACGAATACTCAACGAGTAACGGGTATAAACAGTATTAACTACCTAGTGTAGTTATGATGCAGTGTGATTTAAGTTATGATGGAACCTTAAATAAAAATCTATACAATTAATAACATTGAATACCGACTTTCGAAGATAACCTTAATTAAAACATTAAATGTTTATAATTTTTCTACTATGTACATTAGGGCGGTCCATTTTTAAATTTTTAAGGTCCTACTCTCACCCGTTTATACGGTGCGCATAGTGCTATTCAAGGTATACCAAAAGAAAATTGTTTTAGGGTCTGCGAATTGGTTTCAAAGTTTATCACCCATACGCACTGTTGCCTTCGATCAAAACATTTTTCTAATCAATGTGGCATAGATTTAAACAATTCAGTTGATGTTTTGCTCTCTCTTTTTTTACCAATTATTCCAACGAAATTCATAATTTGACAAGACAAGAAATGGGAGAACGATTTTTTCGTCTAAATTCGAACTGTTATACATGTCGTATGAGTAATTTTAAAGCATATAAAGCATAACATACATTTTTTGCTTACTTTAATATACCATGTTAAGGGGTGAGAATAGAAATTCCTTTTTTGGACCGCCCTAATGTACATGTTATGATCGGAAACTAAGTATATACTTAAATACAAATATATAGTTTAATGCTCATGCCTACCCCTTAAAAAAAGGATATATTTTTGTCTAGTCTATCTATGGTTGTTGATCCCTCAACAAATCTTCTGGTTTTTGACCATTGTTTGCACACTTGCTAACAATACACTAGCGCAAACAAATCCAAAAATTCAACAATGCTAAATTAGACAAATATATAGAAAGTAACTTTCCATAGTCATTTCCAGACTTCTTAAGCAAATAAACAACCTGGGCCACGTGCCACTTAAAATGATGAAGAACAGGCACAGATTCAAATATTGGAACACATCACATAGGAGTTTTCCTATAAATACTAAACTTCAAGCTGGAGTCTGTACAGTTCTTTAGTACACTAAGCGATAGACAGAGCTAAAGATGCGATTCCAACTAGTCCTCGTCCTCGGTCTTGTGGCTCTCGTGGCGGCTGCTTATGGCACAACCACCCCAACCGCATCGTCGACTCCCTCGTCGTCTTCAACTCCCTCGTCGTCCTCAACTCCCTCGTCGTCTTCAACTCCCTCGTCGTCCTCAACTCCCTCGACGTCTTCAACTCCCTCGACGTCTTCAACTCCCTCGACGTCCTCGACGTCCTCAACACCTTCGACCACCTCCACCAGTCCTTCCACCACTTCTTCGACTTCACCAACTACCTCAACCACGCCCACTTCGTCTAGTCCAACCAGTGACGACTCGTCTTCCTCGACCTCCGACGACAGCGAGGAGGTGGACAGGCTGAAGGAAAGGATTCGCAAGCTTCGCAGGGAGAGGCGCCAGGAGAGGCGTCGGGAGAGACGCCAGGAGAGGCGGCAGGAGATTCGTCGAGAGAGGCAGCAAGAAAGGCGCCAGGAGAGGCGTTCTGGAAGGAGGCGCCACCGTCGGGGTTAAGTAATCGGAAGAAAACTCTACAAATCCACGAAGAAATTGTCAAGCAAAAGAAATAAAATGGTTATATGAAACAAAAATTTGGGTATGGGTTTTAGCAACTTCAATTTCCTTTAACATTATTATCTTACAACTTTTTAGAGGGAAGTCAAGAAACCGAATAGTAATAATTAAGTCGTCCGAAACAATAAACTTCATATGAATTTTAATTATAATTTATAATTATAATAATCATATAATTTATAATTTCTTGGTGTTTTTTTCATAAGAAGTTTTTGGTTTTGGGCGACTTTTTGCTCTTATTTGGCAATATAAAGATTGCCTTTTAAATATATATTTTCTTTAGTTTAGCTTAGCTTTTATGTGAACTAAAAGAATTTAAAAGGGTGGACACTGAATCCTTAGTGGAGTTTACTAGGCGAACGTGTTTATGTGTTGGCCGTCGCACTTCCCTTTTTGATTTCAAAATAGAACGGACAAGTTGACTTAAAACAAGTGAATAATAAATTGAAGATATTTAACTTAAAGTAAACCAATAAGTTGTTCTTATTAAATTATGATATTTGGCTGGCCTTTTTACAACATTGGTCTTAGTGTTCTTAATCGAATTTCATAGAAATAAGTTTATCGTTTGAAATGATTCCATCTTAGCTGTGCTCGCAAGAATATTCGTCGAACAAATTCGACTGGGGATTGCCTACTTGAAATACCCGCTTCTCACTGACCCACAAAAAAAATTTAAAGCCTACATTTAAGCATGAATTTATGATTGTGAATCTTTGAATAAAGCTTTTTTAGTGATCAAAAAGCTTCAGTGCTTGCTGTTATTTAAATTTGGTTTACTGCCAAGAGATAGTTTTGTAGCTCAAGCGGATAAACAATAGCTATTCATCTATTTGTTATCCAAGGTGCCTGTGTTTACACACTTGCTAACAACACATTATAAGTAGCAGCCAATCCAAAAATTCGCTATTGTTTCATTAGAAATACAATTCTATTTAGCCTTTAGCTGTTTTAAAGAAGATCGCCTCATCTTTTCACCCCACATAAATCTGTTTGTCTTGGCAAGCAAATAAAGAATTCTCAACAGGCCATATTTGACATGTGGCGAGGAAGAGCAAACACAGATTCAGCAATTAGACCAGATCAATTGGAATCTTCCCTATAAAAACTCGATTTAAAACCAGAACATACACAGTACTCCACTAAGTGACAGACAGAGCTGAAGATGCGTTCCCAATTCGTCCTAGCCTTCGGTCTTTTGGCCCTTGCTGCGACTGCCTACGCTGTAGGATCGACTCCGGGTGCCGCCACACCAACCGATCCATCGACTTCTCCGACCTCGCCAACTTCTCCGACCTCGCCAACCTCTCCAACCACACCAACTTCGCCCACTTCTCCAACCACTCCAAGCACCTCTCCAACCACTCCGACTTCTCCCAGCACTCCAAGCACCTCGCCGTCGACGTCACCAACGACTCCAGCTTCGCCAAGCCCTTCCACACCGTCCACTTCGCCCAGTACGTCCCCCACTTCTAGTGACAGTAGCTCACCCACCAACGCCGAACTGGAGCAGGAGGTGACCAGGATGGAGGGAGAGATGAGCACGCTTAGGAGGCGGATGCGACGTATGCAGCGTCGGGCAAGTCGGCAGCGTCGCCAGAATAGGGTCCAAGCAAATCGTCGTCGCAGGCGACAGAACCAGCGCAACTCTCGTCAACGCAGGGGCTGATTTAAGGATTGGAAGGCCCTTAATACACTCTATTGAAAACTAAGGCACATAAAATGGCTACAATTGTGAAATAAAATGCTTAAAAAATGCAAATCATTGTTACGAAAATTGTGGTCTTGGATTGAACGCTTGAATCAAGTGCACTAATATTCACAAATTAAGAGTGAGAGTTTTTTTAATTAACAGATTGGAAATAATCTTTTACTGAGATCTTCTTAAAACCGTAAAGAAAGCTTGCATTTCAAATAGGAACGTCGTCATTCGAAAATCCAGCTAAAGTACTTACTGTTTTGACTCTTAGGGCCGCAGCAATTAACTAACAGCAATTAATTAACAATTTAACTAAAATATAAAGTCATGACTCATGACAGCCTTTTGTAAAAAAATTTTTAAGGGTTTTTAAGAAAATAAATTTAATTGGAAAGGGTTTTTATTTTTTTTTTTTTTTTTTTTGTGTTTGGGGGGGTTTTTTTTTGTTTTTTTTGTTTTTTTTTTTTTTTTTTTTTTTTTTTTTTTTTTTAAAAAAATTTTTTTTTTTTTTTTTTTAAATAAATTTTTTTTTTTTTTTTTTTTTTTTTTTTTTTTTTTTTTTTTTTATTATTTTTTTTAAGTTTTATTTTTTTTAAAATTTTTTTTTTAAAAAATAAAAATTAAAAAGGGTTTATATAGGAGTTTTTTTTTTAAAAAAAATATTTTTTTAAAAAAACCTACCCTCCACCCCCTAAATATATTTTTTGTCCCTACTGAATTTTACGCACAAAAAAACTTGACCCGACTGCCAATAGCAATTATTTTAGTTTACCTGGGATAAAAATTAAATTTGGATTCTACCGACCCAAAAAACTTGACAAAATTGAACTTTAAAAATCCACCAAAAATCCTATTTTCCATTAATTTAGGCCTTACCGGGCTTGTTTTATTTGCTCTGTATGGCAAACTAAAGCTCTGATCTTGTGACTTCAAAGTTAAGTGAAAAGTGTCCGAATTTGGGGGTGTCTAAAATATAATTTTTGTCGATCGATTTGTCTAAAGATCAATAATATTGCGTTGCTAATCGGTGACTGAAATCACAACACCCTCTGCACAGTTATAAAGATTTCTTAAGGAATGTCTGAGACACCTTTAAAAAAGATGTATTAACCCGTTCGAATATTGGTACAACTTTTTTGCTTTTATATAAACATTTTATTTTCATTTGTGATTATTAAATTTAAACTTTTGACTTTCGAATACATTTCCGCAGGGCAAATTTCCTTTTCAACCGCGACGGTTGCGCAGGCGCTGGCGTTGCCTCCTTTCGCGACGCTTCTCGCGCTTCTCGCGCCTCTCACGGCGCTTCTCCCGCTGACGCCTGGCCCGCCGCTTGGCGGCCGCCGACTTCTTACTGGAGTCCGAGGACGACGAGGTGGAGTCGGTGGGAGTGGAGGTCGAAGAGGTGGTGGGCGAGGTGGACGTAGTCGGTGTGGTCGAAGAGGTCGAGGGCGTTGAAGTCGAACTCGAAGGAGTTGAAGTCGAGCTCGAAGGTGTTGAAGTCGAACTCGAAGGAGTTGAAGTCGAACTCGAACTGGAAGGAGTGGAAGTTGACGAGGAAGACGAGGGAGTGGACGTGGACGAGGAAGACGAGGGTGTGGAAGTTGACGAGGAAGACGAAGGATCTGAAGTTGTCGACGAACTCGAAGGAGTTGAAGTTGAGGAGCTCGAATCGGAACCTGAACTTGTGGTACCTGCGGCATAGGCAGCCGCCACGAGAGCCACAAGACCAAAGGCCAGGACGAATTGGGATCGCATCTTAAGATCTTTCTATCGCTGAGTGAACTGAAGAACTATACCTTCTCTGACTTCCATTCCAGTTTTTATAGGGACCAACGCGAATGCTGTGGTCCATATTGACGATTCTGTGTTTGCTCCAAATCATCATATGCCGCACGTGGCTCAGTAGGGGACTCTTTTGAAAAGTCTGCAGATGGCTGTTCAAAATATCTCTGTTTGCTTAATTGACAATAGAGAAATTGTGGATTTGTTAGATCTAGTTTATTCTTAGCAAGTGTGCAAACATATATTTTTTGCTATTGTGTACAATTTGAGCTATTCTTCCAGCGCCTTAGCAGTTAAACTTATTTAAATAACCGCAAAAAACATATGCTTATTTCACCTTTGCGAGATAGCAATGCCTTGAACAAAGAAGGTTTTTTTTGCGAACTCGGTTCAAAGTTAAAGAAGGTTTTCTTATAATAAATATAATAATATTCTTTATACAAATTGGGAATAAGAATAGTTTTCGTATATATTCTTTCTTCTTATTTGTGCCAACCCGTTGCATTGCTAGCCAATTTAAAAAATTGTTTATTGTGGTGTTGTGGATCAAAGATCAACGAAAATGTGATTACGTGATATATATTGCCAGCCCCTAAGTGTATCACAAAAATGAGGCCTAACAAACAGGGAAACCAATGACATTGTCATATTGTCATTGACATAAAATATTCAATAATTATATATAAAAACATACGTATGTTCCAACAAGAGATAACACATTGATAGACGGAATTGCCTAGATCGGCTCGGTTACTGATCTTGATAAAGGGTCGCTGGTACATACTGAACAAAAACCAGAAATGTGTAAAAACCAAAAGGGGGACGCTATAGTCGAGTGCTCCGACTATCGAGTACCCGTTACTCAGTTAATGGAGTGTGAGAGAGATGTGTATTACTAATTACTAACTAATAACTTACTAATCCAAACCAAATTGCATTTACACTTTTACAAAATATGTGGGAATGTGGGTGGCAGGATTTTTTTATGGTTCTTTAACGCGATTTTGGGGGTTAGAGTGGGCATGCCCTGCGAAAAAGAAGTGATCATAATTCTTAACTATTGACTTTCGAACATAACTTAAAAAGAAAAGTATTAGACTAATACTTGAATAATAGGAAGAAGAATGATTAATATATTAACTTTATAGGGTACAATATACCCCTTTACTCCAAGGTATACAAATGATTTGAATGTGATTTCCAGACCATTGACCAAATTTACGCGTGGTTTAGTTTGTAAGTGAATCTTTTTGCGATAGGGTGTGTTTAGTTCTCACTCCATTAACATTTAATTATTATTTTTTTAAAATATAAAACCATTTAATATGAATAAATCAAGCCGATGTAAGCAGTTATGTAGCATTCTGTGACTCTAAAATAATTCAAAATCCCTAAAATAGATATGCGTTTGGCTCTGCTTCAATGGAAGCGGTTAGATAACCGAGTGGACAATATGGAGGTCGTGACCAGAAAAATCGAAGCTGTCATGAAGGATCAAAAGCCGCGATTGATTTGCCTGCCCGAGCACTTCTCCAAAAAATCAGGCTATCACAGAGACCCCGAAACCGTCAAGGATGGATACTGCTCGCAACGACTTTCTGAGCTGGCCAGAAAACATGAAGTTTACATCGTGGGCGGGACCGTGCCAGAGAAGGGCAAGGACGATGCTGTTTACAGTATGTGCACCGTGTGGTCACCCAAGGGTCACCTGGTGGCGAAGTACCGCAAAGTGCACCTCTTCGACGTGGACGTCAAGGGCGGTATTACCTACTCGGAGTCCGCTAGGTTTACGCCGGGCAGTGAGTTCAGCATTTTTGAGGTGGACGGCCATAAAATCGGACTTGGTGTCTGTCACGACATTCGCTTCGAGGAGATGGCTCGCGTATATCGCAATGCGGGCTGCGAGATGATCATCTATCCGTCCGACTTTGCCGTTTACACGGGTCTCATTCACGTGGAACTCCTGCAGCGGTCACGCGCCAATGACAACCAGCTCTTCGTGGTGACCAGCTCACCAGCCAGGGATAATACCGAGAAACACGTTAGCTTTGCCCACTCCATGGTGGTCGATCCCTGGGCCAGGGTTCAGGCGTGTGCCGGCGAGGGCGAGGCTACTGTTGTGACGGACATCGATTTTTCCATGGTGGCGAAAGTGCGCGAGGAACTCCCAATCTACAGGCAACGTCGCCTGGACCTGTATCCGGATCAAGAATATTTAATATGAACTATGTATATATTCGTAAAAGATAAGGGGGTGTCCATATATTACGTAATCACAATTTCGGCGATTTTTGGCCCCCCATGTAATCAATTCTTCATACAAATAAAATTGCTCTAGAGGGTCCACATCATTTCGTGATACCCCCCTATCGGCCCCCTAGATGGGGATTACGTAATATATGTTTCAGAACAAATTATTGTATAGGACATACTTCTACGCAATGTTTTGCATAACACTTCACCCAAAAAGAATGGGTCTCAAAATAAGTTTCTTAATAATTAGCTGATTTAAAAATGTCTATTGGTTATAATAAATGCATTTCAAATAAAATGCGTTTTTAACATAAGCAATTTTGTCATTTGTGGGGGATATAAAACATTACATTTGAAACAAACACGTATTAACTTAGATTGTGTTTAAACAAAAAGTCAGAAAACTCTAACTTATAGAAGTTTGAATTTAAGCGTTCTACAATTGCTATGTTTAAAATAAGAAAATATTAAGCTGGGTGACAAAACATAATAGTAGGCGAGCCCTTGTAGATAAGAAGGGCGCTTAAACTGAAAAAAACAATCACTTCATAATCGTTATCTCTTAGACTTTTGATTGAAACTGTTAGAAATTGTGTCATATTAACAACTAAGTATAGTTGCCAAGCGATTTTGCAATCAGTTTAGATTGCCGGGCTTGCCACTCTCGCACTCTGAAATTTCTCACTCCTTTCCTCCTCACAAGGTGCAAGTCTTCCAACAAAAAGAAAAAGAAAGGAAGCTAGCTTCGGCCAGCCGAAGCTTATATACCTATTCCTTCCTATTAGTTTACAAATCGCAAAAATGTTAAATTTCCTATTATTTCTCATTTATTTTCCGATCGTTCCTATGACAGCTATTTAATATAGTAGTTAAATTTTTATCAAATTAAAATCGAAATTCCGAAATATTTAAAAAGAGTCATATCCTAGAGTAGAATAGAATACAATAAAAACCAATGAAGCAATAATTTACTTCCTATTATTTTACCATTAATTTTCCGATCGTTTCTATGGCAGCTATATGATATAGTCATCTGATTTTGAAACAAATTAATTCGAAATTCAAAACTAGATAAAAAATGGTATTTCCAAAAGTTGGAGGTTATATGTTAAAAAACATTCAAGATATATTTTTTTTTTGATTTTTTTTCTCGCATTTATACCTCTGGGATAGATATGATATAGGCTCGTTCCGACATATATGATTACTAACTGCAAAAGAAAGAATACTTTTGGAAAAGTTTAGCCGGATAGCTTTGCGTAGAAACAGACGGACAGACGGACATGGCTAGATCGACTCGTCTAGTGATGCTGATCAAGAATGTCGGAAACGCCTCCTTCACTGCGTTGCAAACTTCTGACTGAAATCATAATACCCTCTGCAAGGGTATAAAAAGAACAACTTTTTTCTTGCATTCTTTTTGAATACACAAAGTTTTTAACCGAGTGGGACAGGATTTATTTGCGCATGGCTAAGGATCTGAAAATACTCAGAGAGAGTATAAGGAACGACAATCTGTGTTGCGAAAATTAAATAAAATTAGGAACGTGAAGCCGATGAATCGACGAAATGGATTTACTATTAGTTAAAGCAAATTTATTTCATTTTATCAGTTTATAATTCGCTATTATCGCCCAAAATTTTATTTAAAAAAAAAGAGAACGCTATAGTCGGGTTGGTGTCCCACTACTAACCCCCCCGCTAAAGGGGGAACGCGTTGGGTTGGTGTCCCGACTAATAATCGTAACGGCTAAAGGGGGGGAGAAGATAATGTGAATATTTATAAATCGTATAATTTTTAATGAATGGTCCGATTTGAAAAGTCTTCACATTTCGATAGGTATAATTATACACAAAAAAATTGCATTTATACTTCCGGAAATCTTTAAAGATGTGGGCGCAGGACCCATTTTAAAATCGTTAGTGGGCGATTGTGGGCGTAGAGGGGGCGCTCGGCTAAAATAAACTCCGCGTAGGAAGCCAAAAATATGTGTGGGAAATCTCAAACTTCAGCTTTTAGTTTCGAGATCTCAGCGTTCATACAACGGACAACGGACAACGGACAGACGGACAACGGACATGGCTAATCGACGGCTATTGACCCGATCAAGAATATATATACTTTATGGGGTCGGAAACGCTTCCTTCTAGCTGTTACATACTTTTGCACGAATCTAGTATACCCTTTTACTCTACGAGTAACGGGTATAAAAACCGCTACACAAAAGTATGTAGGTATATTTATTAACTAGACGTTACTGTGCATTTAGCAGTAAAATAACCGAATCGGCTTCTAAGCTCTTAAACTTCACTTTGATTATTTAATCCTTATTCATGAAATCCAACTTTGTTAAATATATTACACTGATAAAAAGCGATTTTACGTAAACATTGTTTTTCTAGTGAGGTGAGTTTAAACAGTTGTTTTTGACAGTAACGTATTTAAATGTAAGGTAGGTGTTTCGATTTATAATTTTAAAATTAGTTTAGTTGGGCATCAGTACTAGATGATTTTACGATGACTTTGTCAGTTGCTTTCAAGGCTTCGAATTTTGTAAAAGTATAAGCAAGGAACATATTTTGTTGATGTTTTTGAAATGTTTTTAAAATCGGTTAAAATCTAACAGCGCTGCCACCTGGCATTTTTGGCGCCCATTTTCAAAGGTACTCGATAAAATCCGATAAATTAGCATGGTCTCACTAAAATGTACGCAGGGTTAGCCGAGGCGCGAACCGCACCCTGACACATTTTAGTGTGGCCATATTCCCATGGCTTAAGTCTCATGGCCCTGCGTACTGGTCACACTAGCCAACCCGGTGTTACGTGACACTTACGTCAAAATGACACTTACGTTTTGACTACGCAACTTAAAACTAGAGGTGGAAGAAACATCGATATTTCTTGCCTGCTAAAACATCGGAAACTTCGATTGCTTCCCACCTCACCGCCCCCGCTATTTCCGTTGGGGCTCTGTGTTTGTGTTCGTGTGTTCGCGTTGGCGCTGTCATCATCATATCGCATCGCTCCGTGCCAATTGTATACGTTTTTACCCCGCCAGCGAGTGTGTTTTGTCGCCCGCCGACCGCCCGGAGTTCAAACTTATCGCAAAGTTGCAAAGTGCCTTTAAAACAGTGCAACAAGTGGTTTTTACACTTTTTACAAGCCTTCAAAGTGCCTTACCGTTCACACACACACGCCTAACCTACCTGACCAGAGCGCATACGCATGTGTGTGTGTTACAGCAAAAATACCTAACTGCTTTCGTCGCAGTTTTTCTGCAAGTGTATTGGTTAATTGCGCCGAAAAAATGTTAAGCGGGGAAATTAATTGATGCCTAATTGAATTACGCTAGTGAAATACGAAAAATAAAACAAGTATCTGCCCTGATCGGAAGAGATCTGGTGAGAAATCCCCAACGCGAGGATCTGTATCGCGTATGTGTCAATTCGTTTATTTAAATATAGATTACAAGTGCACTTAAACAAACAGAAAAACAGGGGGAAAAAGAAAAACAAGTGATTAACTGGCTGGTAATTATAATTATAATATAACTGCTCTTTTTTCGCCCTCTCTTTTGCTTTTTGCATATTTCGAGAGCCTCTTTTTCCGCGTTTTCTCTCCGCAGATATTATTTTCCTTGGCTTTTATTGTTTTTACCTTTCTTTAGTCATCGTGCACTAGCTCCCTCCCTCTCTCTTCTAATAAGACTCTTCTTTTATATCGGTATGTCCGAAGTTTCTTGTTTTGCCACCTATACCACGGCACAATACCTGTGTAACACACACACGCACACACATTGTTGATTGGAATGTGTGCTGTTGCTGTTGCTGCCGTTCTCAATACATATTTGTTGTCAACGGTTTTCGCTTATCAATAGAGCAACAATAGCCACCAACACAGCTACACCTGAAATTCTTATTGGCTTCTGCGGCCCTCCTGTTGGATAATAGCAATGAGTGGGGAAATTAATAATGGAAAACAGTGAAGCTGTTTTTTCGCTGGCATTTTCCATTTCCGCTGCACCATCACCATCCACATTTTTAGCTTTCTGTGTCAATCACCTGTTCTGCAGCGCTGGCACTTTTCACATGCCAACCGGCAGAAGCAGCAGAAGCGGCAACAAACAAATTAAAACATGTTATATATAGCCAAAGCCCCGTCGAGGTGCCAACTTTTGATCGCCGATTCCCACCGAATTCCATTCGAAGAGTAGTCCAACGAAATCCCATTGTGCTTAGAGTCGTATTGCTACTAATCCCATGCAAATCCAAGTGGCGCGTTCCCATACAGTCGATCCTCGCTAACTTCGAAATCCTCTCCCATATTACGGATTAATAAACAGCATTTAAAAGGCATAAGAATTGTTTTTCACTTTTCTGACTGATAATAATATTATAGCATATTTTTGTATTAACTATGTTTTTTATTTTTATTATTTTTGTTTATTTAAGGATGTGGATTAAAGTCATGTACGAAATATAAATAAACATAAAATGTTTAATAAATTACTTTAAAATTAGGAAAAATTAAATTTCATAGTGGTTACATATTTTGAGTTTTCCACCGATTTCTTGCCGAGTTTGCGATTTCGAAAATCGCTAGAAAACTCTTCAATGTTAACTTAATGTTAGAAAACGTCCTCTTCTTTTAACATTTTTGTGGAGGACATTTTTAACATCCACAAAAATGTTAACTTAACAGTCACGCTAACAGCGCAGTCAGCTGACCGAGTTTGCCTGTGTTTATAAACAACTGCCATTTGATTTCAAACTCTCGAGCGGCGCGCAAGGATATGCCGCAAGGATACGAAAGTCGCAGACCTCAAGAACGAACTCCTTCGTACGTGTGCCTTCGCCTGATTCTGTGCCTTTCAATTATTCACGAAGGAAAACAAAGTTTATGGCTCTGCAACTCCCCCGCCCACTTTTCCACTCTAGTTTTCCTTTTCGAATATTTTCAACTAGTGCAAGGCGAGCAACAAAAACAATGCAATAACATGAGACAAGTGTCGAGATAGAGAGTGAGCGAGAGAGGCAGAGAAGGAGAGAGCGACAGCAGCCGCTCAAGTGGCAAAGTGCAAATGTATTAAATAAATAAAGAAACGAAACGAAATGAAACTCAAGTGCACAGAAAGAAACATTTAGTTTAATATAAAACTTTAAAAAAATGTTGTCAGTTAAAAAATGTTTAGAGTTTCTACATATATTTTCAATTCTTCTCTAAAATCAAACTTTCCAAAAAAAGATTATATTTTAAAAATGATTTTTTATTAGCAAACTACATAGTACGACTTAAATCTTCGAGTTAGATAAAATCGAAATATGAAAGTGGAAGTATTTTTTCGCTGTGTGACTAAAATGTGTCTGCGGTTTGGCTAGTTTCTGCCCAGCCTTTCGGCCAGCTTTCTTGGCGCATTGCATAAGTGTTGGCCATTTCACCTCACTTACGCTCTCCCCCTCCTTTCCCGTCTCTCCGCAGATAAGCAGCCCGACGTGACGTACTCGTGTGGATTAATAATTGAGCTGATAGCCGGCAGATAGCGGATAGCAGAGACCAGATAGCAGATAGCAGATATAGGAGATATAGCTGAGCGGCCGGAGCAATGGAGTCCATGGAGTACGAGATGGCACGCAACATGACGCTGCTCTTCTTCCTGGAGCGGCTGCTGGACAAGGGCGAGCCCCGCACCGTCCACGATCTCTCCTGCCAGTTTGGCAACAAGGAGTTCACCAAGGAGATGCGACAAATCGCCGGGGGCAGTCAGTCGGGTAAGTTCAGTTGCAGTAAAACTTTGATACAGTAAAACATTAGGAGAGACTATACTTTAAATCATATAGGAGATACTTGTAAAGTCCTTCAAAAGACACATACCTTTTATTTTATTCGTCCTAAGTCAAAGGTTAAAAAAAATGTCAATGTCACGGAATAGAAATCTCATAGAATTAAATTAAAAAATGTTTTTTCTTTAAAAAAAATCCATCCCTTTTAGGCAGACTAAAGTTAATTTTTTTCAACCATTAGTAAGTTTTTTATGTATTATTGAAAGAAGTTTTTCTTAAGAGACCCTCACTTCTGAAGTTCCGTTTTTAAACTAAACCTAAAAAATACAAGTTTGAGAAAGCGGACCGTAAATACCATCACATTCAATCAGCTCTCATTTAAAATGTGGCCGGCTGAGCCTGGGAAATCGGAAACGTGTGCGGTGGAAAGCAATACTGGATACTGGACTCTTGTTCGGTTATTGAGCATACACATTTGTGCTATTTGTGCACCTGCGGGTCGTTGTTTGTCATAGTCGGCGATTGTGTTGTTGCTCCAGCCTTGTTGCATGTTGCCTTCGAGTGGTCGACGTCCAAGTGCACATGTCATTGCCGTTTCCATTGGCATTTTTCCACTGCCAGCGGGGAGTCTGCGGCAGCGCCGCCCCATTTTCCATCTCCCAGTTGATCTCTCAATGCCAAAACCACAAAAACATGCCAAGGGTTTATCGCTTTTCATTGCAGACGCCAAACTGCAATCGATAATGCACATGTTGTTGTCGGTTTTGGTCTCCCCCCATTTTGCTTTTTTCTGCAAGTGGTATGAGTATTATTTTACAACTGGTCTACGGAAAACATGGAAATAACTTGAGATTCTCAGCATACACGTGTTGTACTTCCATTGACAACCCGGCATATGAGAAACTTCAGGCCACGCTATTTATCAAAATGCACGGTTAACTCGAACGACTAAAAATAGCCGCAATAAAGAACTTTCGGTTTTTATAAATAGGTACCACTTAGCGCGGAGTTGGGAAGGTGCAATGCACTTTCCCTTCGCTAGAGATATGTGAAGACATTTGTTTGATGTTCTCACATGGGAGTGGAGAACAGAGGCGGGAACAGGAAATGGCAAACATTTGTTTACACCGCTCTCCAGGGCTTAATAGCAAATCATTTAGTTGTGGGGAATCATTATAGTCTTTAGTCAACTGGATTATCAAGTAAATTGAATGTACATAATGATCTTAGATTTAAATGCCGAGTGATGTTGGAATTTAAACAAATATTATATTTTGTTTTAAACGTTTTGATACTTTTATAAGTGATTTTCTATAACATTCTGAAGATTTATAAACTCCACTACCCAATTTGTCACATCATATACCTTGACAATAATTGCATTTACTACTTTTGCTTTTCACACTCTTTGACTTCACTAATTGCAACATGGAAACAAACATTTAACAAAATATTTATCGCATATCGCATATTTATCTCTGCCGCCAAGACAAATTGTGTTTACCTCGGGTGAGCAACATTTTCCGCTAAAATAGTTTAATCTATGACTTAAAGAGCCAGTTTTAGTTTTGGAAGTAAGAACGCAATAGAAAAAGTGGGGGTTATTCCGGAAAATATGCGCCAAACACGCAAATCACAGTTGGATTAGGAAAAAAACAGACTATGGAAAATGTTTGGGGGAAATGTCAAGGTCTGGTTTATAAATAGAAAAACGTTAGATAGGCCTGGTTGGATACAGCAAGTCCCTATCAAATATGTGATAAGGAGTTCCAATGGTCAATGGCAGCCCAATTTCACCCAATAATCCCTGTTTTCAACCCACTGGGACTGACCCAAAATCCTATAAACATATTTTATGCCTCTTCAATTTTGTCAACGTGTTGTTTGCCAACTTGTAAGCCGTTAAAGCCTGCTATACCCCTGCGAATGCCGCCCACAATAGACCCATCCAAGTCGCCCATTATGTGGTTTTTGGTCAGAAGCAGAAGCGGAAAGGGGAAAAGGCGGAAACTTTGTAATAGAAAAGTGTCGATTACGTGACTAAAATGTTCAATTGAATTTCAATAAAATTGCATGATATTCTAGAGACTTGAGCACCATATCCATTTGTTGCTTCAATAATAAATGGAGGTGTGTGTGTGCATGCATATTCCCCAGCGATTGATGAGGGTTCTCCACAAAAAAAGCCATTGAGAAAACATTTTTGGGAAATTAACGTCAAGAGCAATTTTCTAGCCGGGGAGAAATTTAAACGCTGCCCAAACTTCTATTGGGTTAGACAAACAGTTTGAAGACTTTGCTGAGCTGTGCCCTCGTTAATGGGAAACTTAAATTTCGCTGCTAATTTAACGGCCAGCAAGAAATAAACACGACCATTTAGCCTCACTTTATCGTTTTGCCATTTTGAGTTGCCAGCGGCTTTGAATAATTGTACAAACAAAATGGGAAAAATAGAAATAAATATACGAAAAAAAACACACACACCAAAACAGGCCAAGCCTTTTGCGAAGGTTTTTTTTCTGCAACTGTTTTTCTGTGTGTGTTTATTTTGTTCGCTTTGCGTAATCGATTGCCAAAGCAAAAACACAAGCAACACAAGCCAAAATTGAAACAAAAAAAAAGACAACACAAAATCAATTTAAAACCAAAAAAATAAAAAATTTTCCCCTCCTTTCCCTTACCTTTTTTTTCCTTAAGGTTGGGGAAGGGGGTTGGAAAAAGGGGGTGAAAACTTTTTTCCCCCCTAACTTTTTTAAAGATCTTTTAAAAATTTCTTCTACATTTCGATAGGTATTGTCAAAGCACAATAAAATACATACTTGAGCTACACAGAAATCAATTTTAAAAGTAAACTAACGATTGGATAGAGTTATTCGGCTAAGGACTAAGGCATGTCCTCTCGTCCACCTGTTAAATTTAAAGGAAGCTTTAAACTCTGATTTGCTATACGATTTCAAAATTGAAAACGGAATATTTGTTATAAAAGAACGGAAATAATTCGTAATGCTGTTGGTCATTTAGCCTGATGACAAATTGATAACAGAACCTTATACCTAAATTTTTTCTGATTATTTATTGAATGATTAGCCGATCGATCTGTCAATGGAAAGCAGCTCCTTTCGCTTGAACCTTCTGCATTTACGTTACGCATTTCAATTTCTGACGTTGTCGTAAATTTAACGATTTTATGTCGGCTGGAGGAAATCCTTTAACGCCTGCCAGCCGGTGCTTCTTAACCCCCGAAACCCCCTTAGCCCAACCAAGCCCCCTCGGAATTCCCAGGCATTGCGTGTGTGCAGCCAAGGTTTTTATGCTTTACTTTTAGTTAACTTTCCGTTTCTCGAGGAAAATGGAAGTCGCATTGATTTTTGACATTAATTGCAAAAGGCGAAACATTTCGTTTATGCTGAAAGTGAATGTGCTGCTCATTACTTGTGAACTTTGTGCCATTTGTTTCTAATTGATTGGTAACTGTTTTGACGTCCTAGATGAGGTGGAACTAATGAGTTCCTAATGAAGTCACGACTCCAAGGAGTCGCCATCCCCCTTTAAGGCTGCCATCTCTCTATTTCCCAACCCCTTGTGTGAGTCATAAAATCCCCGAGTTTACGGCCAGGCATAACCCTTTACCTGGATGTTCACTTACATTTCGATTCACAACATCCCGGGGAAATGTTTTCGTTTTCTTCAATAAGCGGAGAGGCATAAATATACATAAATTTATGGCGAGTGTCCTCGGTGCATTTGAAAATTGCCACCGCAAAAAATGTGTCCAAGTGGGTCGAGCCGTAAAATGTGGCACCCCGACCCCCTCAAACAGGCCGCAACACCTGCTCCACATCCCGAGAAAATCGGTGGTCGGTGGGCGGAAGGTGTAGCCAAAATGGTTTGCTTGCCAAGAATTGCGGCTAAGCACACAGACAAATATTGGCCCGCCAAGTGGCCGACTTGTAGATATTTGCACATTACATTACATATTCGGGCTTCGATAAATATTAATATTGAAATGCCATGAACTTCGATTTGCGGCGTCAGTTGTGCTCCACAAATTTCAATTTCTCTAAGTAAACATAAATGTGAATTACGCTCGAAAGGATTTGCCGCTCTAACCTTTTTTTGGTCCTACGGGGGTGGTGGAAATTACTAGCCATTTGTCAGTTTTGTGGCTCATTTGGCAGCTGGAAAATGGGATAACGAGATGTTTACTCGGGGATTACTTGACGATTGACTTGCCAAATCCGCTGGCAAATGCCTTGCATAATGCCAGTCCGATTCGATTAATCAACGTTCGTTTTCCTTATGCGACTTTACAGTCGAGTTATGTCAAATGCAATTGAATTAATTTATGTCTGGCATTATGAGGCTGAGTTGTGTCTTCCTCGCTGACACGCAACGTCCCCCGTAAAGACCCCTGATCTATCCATCGCAGCGCGTTTGTCTTGTCACGTCATATTACCCAAAACCAAACAATAGTGAGCACAACAGATGGAAATGTGGGCGGTGGGGGTGGCGATACTATGGGACATATGGAGTCGAGACCTCATCGCATTCCTACCAATTGCGGATGATGAGCTGGAAGTGGAAGTGGCAGTGGAGGGTTGGGCTCCGTCAATGGGTGTCCCGTTTTGGGCCGACGGCAGCAGTCAGTCAGTCAGCAAGTACGAGTATGACCTGATTTATCAAATAAATGGTTCGCTAGCTCGCTCGGTCGTTTTGCACGGCTTGAGTGCATTCACTTTTCATTCGGTTGGGCTTACACTGGAACAAATTTTATTTTTATTCTAATAAAAACCACAAAATTACAAAGGCTAGGGATCTATCGTCTTTAGTTCACTGAAGTAACTACACTATCCAGGGAAATATTCAATGAAATGAATAGTTTATTGCTCGTTTTATTGTTTAATCTTTGAATATTGTCGATCTATAATAAAGGTTATTTTATATATACTTTTTAATATTATCAGATGAGAATTCTCATTGAATTTTTTTGTAATTAAAATTAAGTTTCCATAACCATCTGCTACCAAAAATAAATAAACAAAACTACAAATCAAGTCTTTCAGTGCGCACCCACAAAGTCAAAACTCCCACAGTCCTTCCCCCATTCATGTAATTGTAAACTAACTTTGAATCCAGAAACTTTTGCCAACTTTACAAACCAAATCAACAACATAGAAACAGGCAGCAGCACAAAGCACACATGATTATTCATTCGTAGGCATCTACATATGGCACATGCATATGAATGTAAGCCCGTCATTTGATGGTTATGCGATTAAACAATGTTGTTAATTATGGGAATCCAGTCACATGTTTCCCGCTGATATGCACGAGCCAGAGAAAAGTTTTCACAATCCAGTTGTTGGAGTTGAGAGTTGAAACTATGTGGAGACAACCATTATATTCCCGGGAATTCATCGACTACAATAAGTACTTACGCGTCTTGGCGCAATTTCAGAGTTGACACATTGAAAGTAAATTAATTAAGCTGGCGCTGTTGCAACAGTTTTACTGCATTAACCACTCACTCGCAACCCATCGCAGCACCCACTAATGGTCCACCCTAATTATAATTGACGTCTTTTGCTCCCCCGCTTGACAGGTCTGAAGAAATTTCTCGCCCAATACCCGGCAATATTTCTGGTCGACGGTGATTATGTCCAGGTGAACGCCTATCAGCACCATAACGCGGATGACGGCGGCTGCGGGGGCAAGCGGGATTACATCCAAGAGGCTAAAGACTACTTCAAGAACAAGATGCTGCAGTACGGCTCGGCTGCCGAGGTCCCTGTTCGCAGTCTCCTGGGCCACAGGTCGCAGGCGTCGCCGCAAGTGCGCCACATATCGGGTGAGTCTGAAGTGGATAATTGGATAAAAGTTTACAATCACGGTTGCCACTCAAAAAAAGGAAAATTCCTAACTGAGCAAATTGCAATAGACAGTTGTTTTTAAGCAATTTATATGATTTCGTTGTCCATTGTGCCGTGGAAAATAGTTGAACACATCAGAAACCATTTAGCCCCGACTGATTGACATATTTATACCATAAAAAACTTCCTAGAATGTCAACAAAAATCCTACGATCCTACAGAGTTTGGCACTCTCAGTTGCAGACCGAAATGAAAGAGGTTTAACTTAATTATACCAATTTTTATACCCTTGCAGAGGGTATTATGATTTCAGTCAGAAGTTTGCAACGCAGTGAAGGAGACGTTTCCGACCCCATAAAGTATATATATTCTTGATCAGCATCGCATCGAGTCGATATAGCCATGTCCGTCTGTCCGTCTGTCTGTTTCTACGCAAACTAGTCTCTCGGTTTTTGAGCTATCGGGATGAAACTTTCCCAAAAGTCTTTTTTCTATTGCAGGTACACCCAAAAAAAAGTAGTCATCAATATGCCCCTATTTAGGTGTCAATGTGACACTATTGAGTGGAAAAAAATCTTTGATCCGAACGTCATTAAATTGACCCTATTCTGGTGTCACTTTAATACTTTCGAAAATATTAATTTGACCCTTTTTGGTGTCAAAGAGCCACTAGCCGGTGTCATTTTCTTAGTATTAAATAAAATTTGACATTTGCTTGAAAGCTCCTGTAACCATTCTGCCATGGGAAAAATTAATATGGGCATGGCTCAGGGGCCAAGGCGCTAGGTTCTGATATTATTTTGTGCTCGGGGAACGAAGTTCGAATCCCGCTCGCAACACCATTATTTTTTTTTTATCAGTAATCTAACACAACTTAACATTTTTGTTCTTAAAATGATACATTTGCATTTAAAAACTTTTTACCTACTCTGATTTATCTGGGTTTCGAACCGGGGACCTCTCGCATCAGAGGCAGACGCCTTACCAACTGGGCCATCGAACCATTTTGCGCGCGAGCGAACTCTTGACAAGTATAAACGAAATCAATACTAGAGTAAAACATCGCCGAACTTCGAACTTCGAAAATCAAAAATGATAATTATTGGGATCGAAGTGAACCTAGTTTTATCAAAATGACACTATTTAGTATCAAATACGTATTTTTCTGAAAACGCGGTGTACTTTTGACACTCATTTGGGAGCAAATTGACCCCAAAAATTTGATCCTAGGGGCAGTGTCATTTTAACCCACAGTTATTAAATTGACACTCAGGATTTTTTTTTTGGGTGTAGTATATATGTCGGAACCGACCGGATCGGACAACTATATCTTAAAGCTCCCATAGGAACGATCGGAAAAAAAAAACGTTAAAAAATTCTAGCTTCGGTGTTTTTTCAAGTATTACCTTCTACTCTTGGAAATATTATTTTTCATATATTTCTGAATTTCGAATTAAATATTTTAAAAATCGGATCACTATATCATATAGCTGCCATAGGAACGGTCGAAAAATTAAGAGGAAAACTAATTATATCTTTGTTGATTTTTATTACATTCTCTTCTACTCTGGGATATGACTATTTTTAAATATTTCCGAATTTCGATTTTAGTTTTAAAAAGATCGAACTACTATATCATATAGCTGCCATAGAAACGATCGAAAAATTAATGTAAAATAATAGGAAATTTAACATTTTTGCGATTTGTAAATTAATAGGAATAATCTGCAAGGGTATATAAGCTTCGGCAAGCCGAAGCTAGCTTTCTTTCTTGTTAGTCAATGCAATGGTTGAGCTGTTCAAATCAATTTGGAAACAGAAGCACATTCAAACATCGACATTGGTCGCTTAATTTCTCGCACGTCAACAAAAAATCGTAAGCTCATGAACTACAGAGTTTTACGCTCGCAGTGGCCAACCAAAATGGAAGAGCTTAAACTGAATTATTCCAACTTTTGGTGTATGGTTGAGCCTCACGGCTCTGATAAAATCAATTTTGAAACAAAAGTACATTTAAACATTAGTATTTTTCTTAAAAATTTAAATCTTAAATCCTAATTATTAAATCTTTCTTTATCAAGAAATTTGTAAAAACTTTTAAATTTGTAAAAACTTACTTTGTTTTAGAGGTCTCAACCGCAATTGTACATATTTATCAGAAGACCCCGCTAATTCTCTTCATTTTCCGCCCAGGTCAACACATCAAGGAGTTCACTGACTTTCTGATGAAGCACACGGATACCTTCAAGGTGACGGACGACTATGTGATGCTGGTGGGCTGCGAGAACATGACGGATCTGCCGGCGCGGGATCGCCTCCACCTGCCGCAATCGAACATCGACACCCGGGGAACGCAACAGATGCTCGATTTCTTTGCCCAGTGCATCGAGGTCAAGGGGCCGTTGCTGGTGGATCAACTGTTCCATCTGCTGACCACCAACTTTCCGCAGGACCAGTGGCTGCGCATGTTCAAGACGCCGGGCGATCTGAGCTCGTTTCTCAAGCTCTTTGCGGACTGCTTTCACATACAGGCCAATCTAGTCACGCTGCTGCAGAAGCCTAAGCTCAGCGATACGCACATCCAGCAGGCACAGGCTCAGACGCGGGAGCAGTTCAATGCGCTGAACAATAATAATAGTGCCAGCACTCGAAAGCAGGAATCGGGAGTGGGAACTGGAGGAGTTGGAGGAGGAGCTGGAGGAGTGGGAGCCATCAGTTCGGTGCAGCAGAGATTGCAATCGCCGGCTCTGCGGAGTAATGGTCACACGAACAACAATAACGGAAGCAATGGCAGTAATAATAACAACAACAGCATAGCTTGCCCCAATTTCAAGCTGAATGCGCCCGTTTCGAATGTTATGGGTCAGAGCCAAAGCTTTGGGCAGCCGAAATCGGAGCCAAGCTCTGGCTTCGACAGCTATGTGCCCATGTCGGAGCTGAAGCTGGAGAATCTGTGCGAGAACAACTATCCCAGTGCGAACACCTGCTACGGGCCCATTAATAACTCAGCCCAACAGCAACTGCAGACGCAGCAGCAGCAGCAGCCACTGCAGACGACACAGAATCCGGCCGAGCAGCGGCTGAATAGTGTTAACCAAACCCTCAAGCAACGCATCAACACCTTAGTTATACGGACGCTGGCCGAAAATCTGGAGAAGGATAAGCAATCGCTGGCCAATCAGCAGGTGGGGTCAACTTCCCCGCACGCCAGTCCCGTGCATTCCATTGCCAATTCGAGTTCTAACCAAAATGCCAGTACGGCGGCAAACAACGCCAATAGCAACTCGAGTTCCGAATCCGAATCCGAACAATGCCAACCACTCACCTAGTCATAGTTACTTTGTCGGCGACACCTGGAAGATAAAGGTGCTGCAGAACACCACGGTGATAGCGAATGTCAAGCAATCGGTGTTCGTTACCGACATCATACTCAAGTACGCGGCCAAGAACGAGAACATAGTGGTCTCCCTGGACTGCGAGGGCATTAATCTGGGCCTCAAGGGCGAGATCACCTTGATTGAGATCGGAACAACGCGCGGCGAAGCCTTTTTGTTCGATGTGCAATCCTGCCCGGCAATGGTCAGCGATGGAGGTCTTAAGACCGTGCTGGAGCACGACCAGGTGATCAAGGTGATACACGACTGCCGCAACGATGCTGCCAACTTGTACCTGCAGTTTGGCATTCTGCTGCGAAATGTGTTCGACACACAGGCCGCACATGCCATCCTGCAGTATCAGGAGAGCGGCAAGCAGGTCTACAAGGCCAAGTACATATCGCTGAACTCGCTGTGCGAGCAGTACAACGCCCCCTGCAATCCCATTAAGGATCAGCTGAAGCAGATCTACCGAAGGGATCAGAAGTTCTGGGCCAAGCGACCGCTCACGCGGGAAATGATGCTGTACGCAGCGGGAGATGTCCTGGTGCTGATTCACGACCAGTTATTTGGGAATCTGGCACGGCAAATAAAGTCGGAGAATCGAGCCCTATTTTCGGAGCTGTGCACCGAGCAGATACTCATGCAGATCAAGCCCAACGAGGTGAAGATACGCAAGAAGCAGCGAAAGGTCAGCACCGAGGTGTCCGATCTAAAACAGAAGTTGGCCCAGACCAGCAAGAGCATTGTGCTCTCGAATCGCGAGATACGCCTGCTGCGGTAAGTTAAGCTTTGAGTTCATTTAAGTCATTTATTTAACTTGCTTATAACCCACAGCTATATGGATCTGACTGAGGACGAGAAGGAGCGCCTCAAGGGCTACTACAAGGTGGCCAAAAAGCTGGAGAAAATGGAGTCCGCCGGCAATCCCAACAAGTGGGTTAATTCAATTCCAAAATATCCAAGATCCTAACTTTAATTTCTATTTACACCCTCAGAGACCAAAGTGACTCGGAGGATGAGCCAGAGCCAAATGAGAACGACACATTTCCCAGCCTGGATTCGGTGCCCTCGGACAACTCGCTATCCGGCACTTTTTCGCCACGCTTCAGTTCGGAGCCACCCAGTCTCACTGAATCTATGCAAATGCTGGAAGAGATTCTGCAGAACAAGTCCATGGATCGCATAGCACGTATTGATAAGCTGGAGGCCATTCTGACGACTGCCACTTCGCTGCCATGTGAACAAGTAAGTTAATCAAAAACTTTTCAAATGTCAGCTCGATTAATCGTTTTATATCTATAGATTATATCGTCGAATTCCATGCAAGAGCAATTGGGATCGAGCATTGCAACCACCGAGAATCTGCAAATTATTCGCGAAAAATCCAAAAAGTTAGTACCTAGTTTTGTGTAGTGCTCCCTTGAATGATAAATATTTAAATCCTTTACTTACAGCATCAAGAACTGCAATTGCCAGGGCGAGCGCAGTGTGACGCCCATTCTGCGAACGACTGACAAAAGAGTGGTGAAGCTTGTGGATGCCGAATCGCAGACACTGAGCACCGGAGACGTGGTCATCACCAAGATCTTCTTCCAGGACGAGCATGAGCGGGCTAAGGAGGCGGCCCTGCTGAGCAGCTCGCCCACGAAGCGGGTGTCTCCCACATAAACATTTCAACCTTCGAACAATGATTCCTAACAAACAAAGCGCAGACATATTACGTATTATTATTTTGTTTTTTAATAGTTGAGCGGCTCGACAGTGGGCTTCTCGACGCTTTAACGACTATGCAATAACTTTCATACCCAATTGAGAAGCAATATATTTTGTGCCTAGATGTTGAACATTGCAATAACAATAATATATGATTTACCAATTGTTAATTACTCGCCTCCGGCTCGGATCTTTTTATATATTTCAATCGACGAACCTTGGCGAAGCAGTCCTACCGAATCCCTCTTCTCAGAACATGGACTTGCCACTGAGAATCTTTGCGGAATTCAATGGGGCTTACGAATCACGAGCTGCGCCAAACAATCATTAAAAATGTATCTGTTAATTGACTTGTAGAGCACTCTGCTATTAATTGTAATAATGGAATTTTAATTAAATCCGCCTTGGACCAATGTGTATTAAATCCAAATGAAATTATTAAATGCAATTCAGTTTTCTAGAGGTTTCCTAATATCTTTGTCGCCATATCAAAAGTGAACTTATTGTATTTTAACCATAATACTTTGTAAACCGAATCGATTATTCAACTCAATTTAAGTTTAACCAAACCATCATCTTAAAAATTAACATAAAATTGTGTAGTCAATCTAAGTAAATGAGAATTAATTGTAATGGAAAGAATACTGAAATGGTACGATTATAAATTATATAACTAATTGAATAAAACGTGTATATACCAATATCAAAAGCGTATTTAAGTGACTTGTTTCCAGAAAATAGAGGATTTAGTTTTTTTTTAGGAGCCCCTTTATTAGACACCAAACACCAAGAAGTTAAAAACACTTATAATTTGTGCTTATATACTAGTAATACAAGTAAAAGCGAAGATCAGGTTCTCCAAAGTATAGCAGTTATCCTGATCTATCTATAGAGCATTAATTATGTAGTTGGTAAATAGTATGTTTTTTTCTCATAGTGAATATTCTGGTTTAAATTTTTTAGCCATGTAAAATTAGAGTTACTTTTATTTGTCATTCATTTGGGATTTTAGGTTGGTGCTCTCTTGTCGATTGTGTTCAACCTTCTTATAAATGGAATTGAAAGGTTTATGATTTAGACATGATTAAAGTAGACATTAAGAATCGACGGATACAACAATTTTCAGCTTGCAATTGTTTGATATAAAGTTACATAAATGTGTAAATACTAAATGTAAAACAGTAAATTTGATTTATTTTAAATATTTTTCGTTTTGTATATTTTTGTTTAACTCTATGAAGAGCAAATGCTCATAAATATGACACTCAATATTTAAATTTAACGTGCAATTGCATTTACCTTTTCAAACACACATAATATTAAATTCGATTACTTTTTCTGTGTTTAAACAGCCTTATTGAGCTTTTGTTACTGTAGAACAGTATTGTATAGTATAGTTTTCACCCACAAGTTACACTCACCGTTCCAAAAATGCAAGAACATGTAACGTGAAATTCGTTAATCAGTGGAGTTGGGAGATATTGCCTAAGCCAAATATATATACTCGTTTTATGTACTTAATTATTTGCAAAGGAATACAAGTATATGTATATATATTTGGTAAAATCACATCTTTGAATTGCCGGAGCTCGCTAGTTATATGTACAATTGGATCTAACTCGCTTGATTGGCCTGTGAACAATTGGAGGTTGCACGATGTATTAAAATCGTTTGCTTGTATAGTTATTTGAAGGTTGTACACTTAGATTTAGATTTAGTAAATTTTACATCTTCACAACCAGAAGCGAACAGAGTAATTATTTCAATATTGCAGTACTAAACAATTTTCTATATTATGCTGGCAAATTGCGAAATATTCCCGCATTCTACAGTTTCTCACGCTTAATACAAAGTCCGAAACGCCACAAAACATTTTGAATTCGTACAATAAATTGAGTTACGTCAGACTATTATATTTAACAAGATCCTTAATAAGCTAGTATAAATTTTCACTTAAATATTTCGATTCGATTTCGGGCGAAACCTGCATCTCGACAAAAATGTCAAATATATCTACATAAATGCAAAAAGGTACTATATGAAACAGTTGATTTCTTTATCTAACCGATGTGCGTACCTCTGCTTAACCAATATTTCAACTTGGAAATGGAAAAGTGGCAAAGAAAGACCAATGAAGCTGAAGGAAATAGATTTAGTAGAGCTGAAGTGATCATCAGTTTTGGCTAATCCAGATGGTTGCCATATTATTTAAAAGCTCTTATAACCTAAGGTAAATATATTTTAAATTCGTACGTTTGTGATTGAATTCTAAGCTTAGCTCTGTGTGTGTATTCATTGATATTTGCCCTTACAGCTTAAATATCGAATTTAAAATCGTGGACATTGTATGCGTTACAATTATTTTAGATGTGGTACACACATTACAGTCATTGTTAGTTTATTTTAAATACTTTTAATATGTTTGCGGTTGAATTCTTAGCTTACCTCTGTGTGTGTATTTATTGATATTTGCCCTTATAGCCCAAATATCGAATTTAAAATCGTGGACATTGAATGCCTTACAAATATTTTAGATGCGATACACACATAACAGTCACTGGTTAGTTTATTTAAAATACTATCAAAATAGACACATATAGTTAGTACTTTATATAGTTATTATCTTTCCAGGCAAAAGCTCGACGATTCCATTCACCGTTTAACTATATTTTAAAACGAACTAAAAGTCAAGAGAACGAACTTACTCAAGGGGAAATAAAAGATCATCAACTGAGAATGTCGTTAAGAGCCAAATAACAGAAAAGTCAATTAATTAAAATAAAATAGTTTTTTTATTTCGCTAAAATAATTAAACAAAACATAATACATATGTACAGTGATTATTGCTTGCACATTCACAAAAAGGAAACAGACAGAAAGTTTTGGTTTTGAGTTCAGATTAATTTAACAAACATTTTTTCATTTTTGCATTGTTTTGTACGTTTAATTTGCGTGTTGACTAACCATAGACGCAGACTATTGTAAATTGAGTAGTAAACGTTTCACATTCATTTAATTTAATGGACACCGATATTGAATGACAATTAATTTGCTGTTTGCGTGGGCTAAGCACATCTATTGACATCGAAAAGCATATATTTATTTCTCTCTGTGTTTTTCTGTGTTCTTCGTGTCTTTATAGATCCTCCGGCTTCCGTTTCCGTTTATTTCCTTTCGCTCAATTAATGCGCTCTCAAAATAACAAAATGTTTTATGCATGTATGGGTAATGTATGTGGGTTTGGGTGTGGGTGTTGGTGAGTTGTTTTTGTTGGACGCGTAAAATATATATATTGTTTATTCACTTAATGAGATCAAGTCATATAGCGCATTATCTCGCGCAGAGCATAGAGTAACTCGGCCTGATTACGGGCTTCCATTATCATTAGATTCACATGAACCTGTTGGCCAGATATCAGATAATAACGATTAACGGATGTATAAAAGAACCACGAAGCTTGGGAAAATTCCTCTTACCTTTTCACTGTCCTGCAGCTCGACCAGCACACTATCATAATCCTTGGTTGTAATACGCTCGGGAAAGCAGCAGGCTGTCTTTATAAACATTTTCAAAGGGCGCACGAGGAGCTAAATGAAGGAAGATTAGATATTTAGAAAATTATTTAGAAATTTAAAAAAGAAAGGAAGCTAGCTTCGGCCAACCGAAGCTTATATATCCTTGATCATCATTATATTAACTTACAAAAACATTCAATTTAGATTTACTTGCGTATATGTAACATACAAGAAAATTGTACCTGCTTTCTTGTTATTTTGGCATTAATTTGCTGATCCTTTCAATGGCAGCTATATAATATAGCCGTCAGATTTTTGTTAAATTTAATTCAAAATTTTGAAATGTCAAAGAAAAGCTATATATCAGAGAAGAAGAGAATTTAATAAAAATCAACAAAATTATACAATTTTTTCCCATTAATTTATATTTAATTTTCCAATTGTTCCTGTGGCAGATGTATGATATAATGACCCGATTTCTTAAATCGAAATTTAATTTGAAATTCAGAATTCGTAGAAACGGACAGACAGACGGACGGACAGACGGACATGCCTAGATCGACTCGTCTAGTTATGCTGATCAAGAATGTATATACTTTATGGCGTCGGAAACGTCTCCTTCACTGCGTTACAAACTTCTGAGTAAAATCATTACACCCTCTTCATATGTATAAAAATTATTGTTTTGAAACCACATATGAAATTCCAAGAGTCCAAGAGTAGGCAGTGAAAAAATTGCATTGTGTGTAGGAATTTTATCGGGTGTTCGCCTTCCAAATATAATGCTGCATACTTTTAGACACCTTAAAAAGTCCGTTTTTTCCAATCCTTGGTGACTTCTGGCACTCTAAAGTATAACTATTTTTCTAAAGCTATATTCCTACCTGATTCACTTCACCATAATCATAGTCATCGTGGCGTATGCCGTAGATGCACTGGATATAGTTCCAAATTGCCCGTCGAAACTTGGATGTGTCCACATTCTTGATGCCGCCCATGGTGCAGTAGGTAAGATTGTAGGCTGCCCGAAATTTGGCGTCCAAAAAGGTTCCCACATCGTTGTACAGCCTGATTTGAAATGAAAATATTTTCTTCAGAGCACTTCACTTGCAAACAGCGTGCCATCACTCACCCATCCACCAGCGAGTAGCCGTGATCCTCCCAGGAGTAGTCCTGAATGCGGAACGTGTTGATGCTTTCGGTTCCACGACGGGCAAAGTCCTGGTAAATGAAATTGGCATCGTCGACATAGTGCGATAAATTGGTTGGCACGGCAACCGTCGCCTCCGGAATTACGGCGGCCAACTCAGCGGTCTGCTGCTCCACCTTCTGGAAGCGGCTGCTCAGCTCGGCCTCGCTGCATTCGTCCTGATTTTGGGACAGGACCTTCATGCGCTCCATCAGCGCCTCCACGCTGATGCCGTGCTGCTGCGGCAGTTGTTGGGCCGTGGCTGTAAGTCAATCAAATTAGGCAGGGATTCGAAAGGGCGAAGAAAGTACTCCCCAATGGGCAAAACAACTGTTCAAGCCCAATCGCACTCAGAGAAATAATTGTATTTATACTCTACATTCGCATTAAGAAGCCGGTTTATTTGCGCTAGCTTACAAACGCATTTGTAAACTTTTACCGATA